ACGTTTATCCCGGATTTTCTATAGGTACCTATACCTACATGTGACCTAAGGACAGGGCCTTTAGGTCACAGATACAGAAACTGATTTGCAGATCAGTTTTATGACCTCTCCTTTATACGTTCATGGGTGAAAAATACCACTGAGAATATTTTGGACGAAAGCTACACGTATATTCTCAACACTCTAAAACATCGTGTGACAGGTTGATATTGAATTTTGATCCTGAAACCCGCAACCATGATCCCTTGTTAGACCACTAAGGTCTCTTAGGTTATGAAAGGTGAATGACAGCTTTCCGACCATTTCTTTTGATAGAAACATTTGAAGCCATAAAAAGCACATTAAAAGTGTTCCGCTTGGCGATACGGATCTACATTTGTACAAACCTACTATAGTAGTTCATGCCTACTATAGTAGGTATACAATATAATCTCATCCGGTCTGCTCATGACCTTGACCCTAGGTTAGCTTTTAGATTGACATAATAAGGTTATATTAGCTTATTCAACGCATCTCGACGAGATAAACGCGATGCCAGTAAAATGAACACAATACAGGCTTTGTGTAAAAAGCAGAAAAAAAATCTGCAAAAGTGATTTTTTTGCCCTCTGGATACAAAACTGTAGGTCTTATTTCAGACCTAAAAAATCTCAGAAGTGCTTTTAAAGAGCTATCGAATGCGTTTTCCTGCAGCACTGCAGCTGTATTCTCGTACGTTCCCGAGTTAAGAATTATCAAAAAGTGGTGAGTGATGACATAGGCGAACTTTAACCTTGTCCTATCTGAGAACTATTAAGAAAAAGAGGCATCGGATGAGCTTCGCCCGTGGCACTGCAGCTCAATTCGTTCAGAGTTGTGCGCTGATTTGTTTAAAAAAAGTGTCGAAATAGGCGAAATGTGACCTTTGATAGCCTCTGGTGACCTGACCCTTAATCTGACCTAACAATTGGTTGAAATCTTTCTTCGTGCTTTTTGACGCTCTTTCGAACGCCACTCACCGCGTGTCGCTACGTGGCCCGTGAGACCCCAGATAGACGAGGGATGTTCAAACACCAGTCCTCCAGGCCAGGCGCTGGCTAGATTACTGCATGCAAATTGTTTCGGGGCACAATCCGTCTCGTAGGTATAGTTTTAATGTTTTTACCATATGTGGATCGAACTACCTACATGAGATCAAATCCGAGGAAATTTTAGCAAACAAAGCTATAAAAAAGATATCGAAATCGCTTTTCCACGACTCTGCAGCTCTTTTGATTTACGAATTTTGCAGGCCTACACACACACACACACACACACACACACACACACACACACACACACACACACACACACACACACACACACACACACACACACGATTCACACACGCTCACACATGAACACGCCTTTAGACACATCACGTAAGTGCGCCAATCGAAACCTTGCATTGCGCTGCAGTCGTAGATTCCATGGGCGAATCACGTCAGCTGCCACTGTTTGACGCAGTTTTAGTGCACTGCTTGCACACCTGACTGTATCCTTAACATTCTATGGCCTCGTTTAAATGTTCGGCTCATTACTAATGGTTATTTTACTGCTGGCCATTCGATCATACGGCCGTCATTCCGTTATCAATGTCACATTCCTTTGACTTTGGTGCTCATATTCATAATCTGCCATTCGTGGGGTAATAACCCTAACGGTCATGGACAACGATCTTCAAAGGCGAATTTAGGAGTATTATTATGAGTGGAACACGCCAGGCTTGTCTTTGTCACCCGGCACCGGGCACCCGGATACCGTATTCTATTGTTGCCCTTGTATTGTGACGCTGGTCACCCAGCCGACCCTCCATAAGGCGGGGTCAGGCGGGGGTCGATCCCACCCGCGAACCTTTGCGATTGACCTTTTGGTTCCAGCCCCTAAGCTAATCAGCGCTGACTGTCAGAGCGCCAGGAATGCTCGGTCCGTGATATATATATAGGAGCGCCTCGGGGGCAGTCCGATCAGCTCCGGGCGTGTGCCCCGAGGGTGTGTCAGAGTCGCGGTCACCGCGGTCGGGCCGCGATGGCGCCGCGGAGGACGGTGCTACCCCTCTGGATGGCTGTCCTGCTCTGTCTCCGTCCCTGCGCGGCTCAGGACGTGCTGCCTGGAGACCCGCTGGGCGGCCGGTTCAGCCGCCAGTCGGGGGTCCGTCTGATCAACTCCGCCGTGCTGCTGACCGTGCCGGCCGGCTCGTCCATCCAGTACTCGATCCACTGCCTGGGCCTGGAGCAGTGCACGGCCGCCAACTTCCGTCCGACGGCCGCTGACTCTCCGGGCGGCGACTGTGACCTGCTGGAGGGCGGCGACGGCTCCACCGAGGCGGCCGAGGCTGGCGCGGTGGCCCTGCGCCTCCCGGGCAGCTGCCGGGGTCTGAGAGACGTCCACTATCGCGCTGACGGCGTGTACCGCCACCGCGGCCTACCGGCGCCCCTCTACTGTGACATGACGCTGAACGGCGGAGGCTGGACGCTGCTGACATGCTCCGTCTCTAACGAGGGCTGGACACTGGACTACGTTATCGAGAGGAGCCGAGAGACGCCCGGTGTCGACATCAACTACTCCATCCTGGGCCTGGGCGAGCAGATTCTCGGCGTCAGCGACATGGGCAGGTACAAATACAGGTGCGTGCGGGATGACGTAACCAGTCCCAGCAGCTACAAGTATAAGTTACGGTGGCGTCGGTGCACACTGCACGGTGCACTCATGTCTTCCATCAGAGCAGTGTCATTTCACCCCTCGGTGCACTCAGTCATGTCTTCCATCAGAGCAGTGTCAGTTCAGCTCTCGCTGCACTGATGGCTCCATCAGAGCAGTGTCAGTTCACCCCTCGCTGCACTGATGTCTCCCATCAGTGATCAGAGCAGTGTCAGTTCAGCCCTCGCTGCACTGATGGCTCCATCAGAGCAGTGTCAGTTCACCCCTCGCTGCACTGATGTCTCCCATCAGTGATCAGAGCAGTGTCAGTTCAGCCCTCGCTCCCCTGATGGCTCCATCAGAGTCCAGCAGTGTCCGTTCAGTTCTCGCTGCACTGATGGCTCCATCAGAGCAGTGTCAGTTCAGCTCTCGCTGCACTCATGTCTTCCATCAGAGCAGTGTCAGTTTACCCCTCGCTCCCCTGATGGCTCCATCAGAGTCCAGCAGTGTCCGTTCAGCCCTCGCTCCCCTGATGGCTCCATCAGAGTCCAGTAGTGTTCGTTCAGTTCTCGCTGCACTGATGGCTCCATCAGAGTCCGGCAGTGTCCGTTCACTTCTCCTCACCCCCACAGGATTGAGGTGAGCGGCCGACAGCGCTGGGGTGGCATTTGGTCCGCTCCGCGGCGCTACACCCTCACCGGGAGCCACTCAAACCAGACCGACGGCGTGGAACTGATGACCACGTTTGACGACTGGGAACCGCGGCTCGACTACACGCCGCTCAACATCGTGCCCTGGGTGAACCGGATCGGCGCGTTCAACGGCAGTCCACTGCTCACCACGTGTGCGGAAAACGGCACACAGTGGTACGGCACCCTGGTCACCGCGTCGGTCGGCGAGTCGCACGGCGTCTCGCCCTGGATTCGGGGCAATGCAGAGGTCAGCTCGGGACCGCGCCTCTACTGGGTGCGAGAGAATCTCCCGCGGGAGATTCTGGCGCTCTAATATAATCTTATTAGAGCGCGCTCTAAATCTGTCGGCCGAAATCAGCATAAGTGTACGCAGAGGTTATAGGAACGGCCAAAGAGATGTAGTGGCAACATTCCAGCCGTGTACTAATAAGGTCGATGTGAATGGAATGTAGCTTTCCGGCCGTGCAACTAGAAACAAACAGAACTAACGTTGCATTTCAGCTGCGCCAGGGGAGACGCCCATAGCTAACTCTCATCTGCTGGGATATTACACGGCCACATGGCTTGCATCAGGACACAGCCGTATCAGAATGCCTTGAATGTCGTTAAATAGGTAGGTACAGCTCTTGCGGGTTTTAGCGATAGATTTTGTCTTCGTTAAATTTATTAAATTTTCGGCTATATCATTTTCGTCTTTAGCTTTTCGGGTTTAAGGATGCGATCGATTTATTCGTACACATGCCTGCCATGATCCTCTAAAATGGCTTCATCGTATACCGATTTATAATGTGTGAGATATAGTCGGAAATATCATAAATCTAACGGCGGCAAAACCTACCTCTCAAACCCGCGAATATCTAATTATACCAATGGTAAGAACTAAGAGCACTCACCCGATTTAGTCTTATAATAGTTAGAACTCAAAAGCTGTTTATTTACTTTTACCTGCCACCTCACTTGATTTATTTTCTCATTATTTAGTTTGCTATCGATACTCGATGGAATGTCGAGAGAATATTAAAGAACCTTTTTGCTGTGGTCTAAAAAATTAATCGTGCTGTTTACGCCTGCTTTGGAATCACAAAGTAACATTAAATATGACAGTGCACATGCTCATGCACATTGCACACTGCACAGTGCACTAAATGTATGTTAGACTGATTCTGTGGGTTTCGTGAAGGCATCTCTAAACATTTGGAGTTCCGTTGCTTTCTGTTGTCGTGCTGCTCGTTCAAGAACTAATTGTGATGTTCCTAATAGTTGCGTTAATAAAATATGTGAGAGTGATGAATGGATGATGTCCTACCGGCCCTACCTACGTATGATATCGCTTTATCGTCTATCAGTATCGATACTCAGCTACATATAACTACATGTATTATCATAAGGTATGTTTATGCTTGAAGGGACCCTCCCACCTTCAAAAAAGTTAATGAAATGGCATAAAAATGGTGTCGCATGGTTCAGATTGAGCAACAATGCATATCAACAAATTTCATTGAAAAATATAAACCGGTTTTTGAGATATTAGTCCATTGCCTTTGTTTATTTTTCGGAGCCTTTGCTGTCTAACGCCATGACTCTCGGTTTCCAGACCCATTCGCTCCATAACTTCTGCGCTTTTTCGATCGCCTTTCGATTCGGAGAGTATTAGAAATGTCGTATTTATATTTGTGTCACACATATATTATTTGATCGAGCATCACGACAAATAACGACAAACATAAGGTGAGACGGGCCCTAGGCGGACCCATCCACACACACATATAAAAACACAATGTGAAGATGATGAGGTGATGGGTCGGACCGGCCGCACTTCCGCCGCTGTCGGCGGACTGTCGGCCGGCCCTCCAGTCGTCTCACGCGACCGGGATTGCACTTCCACACAGGTCAGACTGGTGAGACCGATGATGGGTGAGAGAAACAGGTCGCCGCCGGGCGCGACTCGGAGAGCGGCGGCCCGGCGGCGCTGGCGCTGCTGCGGCTAGGGCGCGGCGTCGGCGGCCGCAGTCGGGCCGTGACGTAGCGAGCTCCGGCAGCCAGGCCATGGACGGAGGGACGGGACGGGACACGGGAGCACGTGCACTTACTCGGCGTCAGCGGCCTTCAGAGCCTCGGCGTGCGCCTGGGCGTGCGCAGCCTTGGCGGCGGCCACCTCGGGAGTATCAGCCACCGGCAGCGGCGCGGCAGCGTCGAACACGGGCGCCACGTTGGTGTCGACGGGAGCCACGGGCAGGTCGGTGCGCGCCACGTGGAAGCCGAGCGCGTCAGAGTAGTATGAGGCCACCTGGGTCTGTCCGTTAGCGTCCACGTAGCTGAAGCCGCCACGGACGATGCCGTCGGCCGTCTTGATCTCCTGCTTGCTGGAGGTCGGGTTGGAGTAGCCGTAGTCGTACTGGCCCAGCTCGTCCTGGGCGTGGAACTGGGACGAGACAGAGGCGGCGTACGGGAAGGCGGCACCCACGGTGTTGTAGACGGCAGGCACAGGAGCGGCCTGGGCGTACACGGCAGGAGCCGGGGCGGCCTGCGCGTACACGGCAGGAGCAGGGGCGGGGTGGGCCACAGCCTGGCTGTAGACGGCAGGGGCCGGGGCCGGGTGGGCCACGGCCTGGCTGTACACGGCCGGAGCGGGCGCAGCCACCGGCACAGGGGCAGCCACGCGCACCTCATGAGCCACCGGCACGTGCTTGACCACCACCTGGGGCACCTCGACCTCCTTGACAATCACCTTGGGCACCTCCTTGATGACGTAGCGGGGCACCTCCTTGACGATCACCTTCGGCACCTCCTTGTACACCACCTTGGGGACCTCCTTGATGACGGTCTTGGGCACCTCGACCACCTTGACGACCGGCTTGTGCACGTACTTGGTGACCTGAGGGGTGTAGTGGTGCACCTTGGTGTGTGCCACGTGGTGCACCTTCTTAGCATGGGAAGAGGGAGAGGAAGAAAAGCGGGCGTGACCTGAGGGCAGTGCGTAGCCATAGCCATTAGCATGGCTGCCGGAGCTATACGCCCTTTGCGCCGACGGATGGCCGGCCGAGACGGCCGCCAGCAGAGCCGACAGGAGAACCTGCGAACGGAGAACGGGGCGCACTCAGACACCGGGGGAGGCCGGCGGACGGACGGACGGACTGAAGGTAAGGGGAAGCACTCTTGTTTATGTTCAAGTAATTGTTAAACATCCGTTCAAATAACAGGCTGCATTAGTTTCCTTACAGTAAAGCGTTGAAGGGTGTCTTAGCGTGACGATTATTAAGGATCTTTCACACTTTTATCTTCAACTTTTCAAAGAAGTATTACTCATAGTTTCTCGATTGTGAAACACTTTCAGTTGTGCGATAAGTAATGCATATAAATATTATTCATCGGCAGGTTGAGTGAGACGACTGGCAACTGAAACAAGCCATCGTCTCCACCGAAGCTCGGCGTCCACTTACCAGAACTCTCATGTTTGCACAGCAGTCCTGAACCTGGGGAAGTGCTGCCGGTCTGGCGGCGCGTCGGCGTTTTATAGGGCGCCGGCGCCGTCAGGGTCGCTGGGTCGTCCCCGGCGCCGCCGCCAGGGTCACCGGGGCGCTCCAGGCAGGGGAGGGGCGTCCTCCCGTCGACACAGGACCGGCCATCCGGCTGCTGACGACCGCGGGCCGCGCTCGGCGACCCTGGCCTTGCCCACGGCACCGCCACGCCGGCTTGTTCCGCCGTCCGGAACCGCGCGGCGCGGCCCCAACGCTCTCGACTGAACATTGTCCATGGGCCGCCCCCGGCCCGCGCCCAGCCGCCCGCTCAGGAGCTATTGACGGCGTCGTTTTCGTGCTCAGCCACCGTAAAATAGGCACCTGGCCGTGGGTTTGTCTGTGAGTGAGTAATACGGGGTCGTATACCGGTAATGACATCCTGGTTAGATATATCTACGGTAGCGATATTTAACATGAACCTTAGCATATACGACGTCTGTAAGCTCTAGCCGTTTCCACGACGGGTTATCTGGCGAACGTACAGGGTGTCCAGAAAAAACGGATACTATTGTTTTTTGCTGTAATTCCGAAAATAAACACCTTACATTTTAAAATGGCACATGCTTGTATTCGCAAAAATATGGCAAAACAGACAGCAGGCACCACATGGCATATTAACTCTTTGGTTAGTCGCGGCAGCTCCTCAAAGTAGATACTCAATGTGAGCGGCCTTCCGGCGGATCAGCTCCAGCACTAGCACAGTCTGCAGGTGACTGATGGTCATGTTGACCATCTCGGAGGGCAGACAGACAACTTTCCAACGACGCATTACAGTGCTCATGAGTTTTGCCAAATCTTGCACTATGAGCACACGAAGTTGGAACAAAATCGGCACGTGCGTTAATGAATGCGACTTAATTTTCGTAGTATCTTTTTTTCTGGACACCCTGTACCAAACTTGACCAAATCTAGCCAATTCTCTTTTACAGCAAACATCTTCATATTATGGGTATATTTCAATGTTTTAATCGATTGTATCTGATAATTTGATAAATAAACTCTATAAGGAATAAGTGCAACCCAAGCTGAAAACAACTAAGAATCGGCTACGAACCCAATTTAACCAAATCGCGCCTAATGTGACCAAATGTGTGCCAGATAACCGTCGTGAAAACCTGTAAAAACCAGAAACGGCTTCTGTCCTCCAAGCTGCTTAAAAATGCAATGGTAAGTAGATATTTAGGAAATTGATAAGGACGAAAATCGCATTGCAGTTAACAAGTTACAATCGGATGCTCTTATAAACAGACAATCGGCACCATAGCAAAGGCTGCTTTTGATATAAAATTAACTATCGACGAATGTTGCTATACTCCCTTTGGCTGCATCGGCAATACCCATGGCTCAGGCAGCCAAGGGAACTGTGATGCTTAAATGCAGTCTCAGCGGTGACTCGCTCTAGACTGCATTTTGTTGACCTGAGATGACCGAATCTGGGCGCTCCAGTTCACCCCAGACGAGTCCAGTCACCGAAAACGCAATACTCGTATGTGTTGTGGACCGAAGTCTTCTGCATATATTACCGTGCCGAAAATCCGTGAGATCCGTTCTACGAATCTTCAATCCGTTTCTACGAATTCTTGAGTTTGCTCCTTATTTAAAAAGATAACTGCTGGTTAGATGCTGGTCCTCGTGAAATAGGTACGTATAAGGGTGATTTTACGCCACTTTTGATATATCGGGCCCCATGTCAACGGATGACTTAATTTACGTATAAGGCAGGGATAGCCAATCGAATCAGGACTATGTAGAATTGTGGAGTCAAACATGAGATAGATGTTGAATTGTGATGATGTTAAATATTAGACTGTGATACTTAAATCTCTGCCAGAAAAGAAAAAAAAAACATTTCATTTTACCCATCAATCAACATTCAGCACAAACAAGGTCAATCTGAGGTTAGCATGATCAAAGAGTCCCTCGGTTGACCTGGAATGACCGTAATCCGGAAGCAAATCACATCACATCTCTCGATAGGGCTGCGAATAAACAGTGGAGCCAGACGGCTAAGGTGTTACCGAGTCTAACACAGATGTCATGATGGCAGATATCAGATGTTACTGCGGGTGAGGGCTGTATTTTTCACGACATATGACATGACGGTGCATGAGAGTAGGTAGCTATCATTCGTATCCGCGATTTTTCGCCACGCCCACTCATCGGACTTTAAATAAACGCCGGAAACAAGTCAGCACAGTCCTTGATTTCATTTAAGTTTCGCACCCATTATCAAAAACGAATGTGTCTTGTGGTCCACCTCCAAGGACTCCATAACGACTCCCACACACATACATCTCACATCATAGAGAACATGCACCCAAAGGCCACAACAAATAGGAATTATCTGTCACGCAGCGCTGCGCCCGTCCCGATGACGTCGTTCCAGCCACGTCATTTTCCGTCGTTCAGCGAACGTTCCCGGCTGCCGATGGGGTTACGGCTATCTCGGGGGCGTTACCGGTAACCGGTGGGGTCGTAAGATTATCCCCCGATGGCTGATAGGGACTATGGGCCGTTCTCTGTCGCTGGTGCTGGACGCTGGTGCTGGACGCTGGTGCTGGTGGCTGGTGCTGGACGCCGGTGCTGGACGCCGGTGCAGCTCCGGCCCGGCGCTGTTCCGGCCCGCTCAGAGGATGACCTCCGCCGTCCATACACGCCGCGCCGGTGTCAGGCGGCGGCCGAGGAGAGGCGCGGAGAGGCGTCCAGACGCCAGCAGAGGAGGCCGGACGCTCCGGTCCGCCACCTTGGCCCAATTACCTTGAGAGCCGGCCGATCGGCGCTCCGCCCGGGCTGTGGCTGCCCCGCCCCGCCCCGCCCCACCCTGTGAATACACCACATACGGAACCACAGCACGGCCTACACAGAACCACACTGTGAGCGACTCGGAACCGCATAATGTGTTACGTGGAATTATGTTACGCCCTACAAGGCAATGCACCATAACCTACGCTCTATACGGAACTGCTCAGCAGCATGATAGCATGATATATCGTCATCTGAAGTTAACTACTGTAACACTGTGTGCACCGTCTGCTCCATTCACTCACTGTTGTATGTTGTCTTTCAACCTTCCGCCTTTCTTCTTTTGCCAGCCTTTTCACAATTAGGGTACACAACCATGTAAAAGCCAAAAGGACGTGAACATGTAAGCGAGGGAGACCGTAAAAAGGAGCGAAAAAGAGGCTTAGCTGATGGGATGCAACGAGTGGTCTAGAACGTTCGCAGTGGTGTGATCACCTCGGCCGCAGCTGTCTCGATTCTTCCCTTTTCTCCTTCCCCTTCTCGTTCACAGTCGCTCACGTAATTTTCTTCCAGCTCATCCACCCACGCACGTTCTCGCCTCTCCCATGTATAGTTCTTTGATAACAGATATGTACGTAAATGTATGTACGAATTGTTCAGTTTCGTTGAAGGGAAATTAATTGCTCTACAAACCTTTAATAATGGTCTCTGTATCACATCATTTCTCAGCTGTTACTTTGCTCTAATTTCTAAACGATAAAAATAACTAAAACTCGTAACGCCACATTTGTGATTCATGTGTTCATGGGTATGTAAATGCCTAGGAACGAAGACATCAGATATATTAAAACTGCAAACATCCCAGCGGGACGTGGAAGACAAGGACATCAGTGGGTTGCCGCGCAGCTAATTTTTTTTTTTTTTTATAACCAATAATCACGCTATACGCTATGACGGGGGCTCCAACAGGACGCTAATTATAAAACTTGCTCATTTACGCACGCTGCACGCCCTTGAAACACTGCTCGTATATCTTGGTCGCTATCCAAGACCGGTCAGGCGAACGGCTACTGCCACCGGAAGCACAGTGCACACCACCGTGAACATTACTATAATACTCGAGCTACCAACTCGAGTCTCTAATGCTCTCGTATTAGTCTCGTGTCTATTGCTGGAGCTCCCTGTATTAGGAGGGCGCGTTCTTCACAGACCGCCGCGCCCGTCCGTCCACCCGGCGTCCATTATTGGCTCAGCAGGGTCGACGCAGACGGCCCCTCACTTCCGCAGTGGGCCGGGTCGGGCGGGGCCGGGTGGGTCCTTCCAGGGTCACGGCGAGCATCCCGCCTGCCATCTGCGGGAAGCGCCCCTCCCCAGCGGCCAGCACACACCCTGCCCCCCCCCCCCAGCGGCGGCCCGTCGCCAGCAGCGAGGTCGCACCCTCCTTCAGACCTGGATTACTTCGTCAGGGGCTGCTCCACCTCATGTCCCTGATTCGATTCGGCTAAAAAGTAGTAAGATGACGTAGGTGACCCGACACAGAGAATCAGAGATCATAAGACGGAGGTCAGTCGGAGGTCTCAGGTCAGACGGAGGTCATCGTAGGTAGATCATCATCCGAAAGTAACAAGACGGAGGCTATTAGACGGAGGCGACCCAAAAAGTTCGTAAGACGGAGGTAATAAGACGGTGGTCATAAGACGGATGTCATCGGATGTCATAAGACGGAGACGACCGATAGACGACTAAGACAGAGTCTCAGACAGAGCTTAGACGGAGGTCATACGGTTGTCCGAGGACGGAACTCAGATAGAGACGACATACGGAGGTAATAAGACGGGGGTCATACAGAGGTCAGACAGATATTTTTGGACTGAGGTCATGTGGATGCTGTGAGACGGAGGTTAGATGGGGCCGGGGGTCAGAGTCAGACGGATGTTGTAAGACGGAGATCAGACAGAGACGATGGACGGAGGCCATAAAGACGGAGGTCGAAAGATGGAAACAGTAAGACGGAGACGACCCGCAGAGATCTCAGATCACAATAAACAACTGCCGATTTCATCATAAGACGGAGCTCACAATACGGATGCTAAGAGACGGAGGTCAGAAGGTCCGACGGAGGCTAGACGGAGGTTAAACGGAGACGGCAGATGGAGATCATAATACGGGAGGTCATCAATCAAATCAGAGATCATGAGACGGAGATCAGACGGAGGTTGTAAACGGAGGTTTGAGACAGAGCTGAGGTGAGACGGAGGTCATGAGATTGAGGTCAAGCCGGAGGTCACAAGACAGAGATCAGCAGACACAGATCACAAGACAGAGGTCGGACGAATCACGAAAGTCACGTAGATGTCGTAAGACGGAGGTCAGGGGAAGACGACTAGGGGTAGGCACAATCTTTACTGTTCTTTTTAGCAGTAAATTAGTGCTGTTTGATGTTTTTACAATGATGGCGCAGATGGTACTTTCAAATTCTTCTTTTTTCCCTCAAAATTGTTTGCAGTGTTGCGTGTATATCGATATTGGAATAGTAAAGAATAGTTAGGTTAGTTTGGTAGATTTTGTAGGTAAATGGTGAAAACGGGCAATTAGGCAATTTAAACCAATTAAATTTCGTTCTAATTCTGGTTAATTTATGCTGATGCAGGGGCTCCTAGTCTGCATTGGACATTGGACAATCAGTGATCATTCATCAGCTTGGGCTCAAACGATAAACCGCTCAAACCGAGATGAAGACCCTCTAAAAGCTAGTCATAGTGGAAATAAGCCAATAAGATATTTGAGCTGATACGCATTGACTCAAAACTTTCAAGTTTCACTGAGTTTCATTAATTAATCAACTGCATCTATCACCACCCATTTTTTCCTTTATTGTGTTTTTTCCTTGAATGCTTTTATTTTGTAGGTATTCATGTCAGCATGGACCCTCTACAACAGGATGGCTATTATCTGTCAATTTTCAGTAGGATTGAGGAAATTTTTGGGAAGTCAAAAACGGCATTAGGCAAAACAACAATTGTCTGCCGCAACATCACACACTAACAAGTTATTTGATGGAGGAATGTCCTTACCATTATTTTGTGAATTACCTACTGCAATTTCCAGGGCATCCAGAAGGAAATTTTAGCATTAAATTTTTGTATTATGACTGTCAACAGATATATGATAAATATTTGACCATGCCATAACATTTTTTTCAGTTAATTTATTTGGCCATCTTCACTCACAAGTATGGCATCTGCAGCTGCAGGAGCTTTGAAAAGGGTATGTTTTGTAATATGGACCAGATGGTGTGAGACAGTCTCGAGTAGTTACCAGATCTAGAAAATTTTAACAAAGGAGCTTTTGGCATTGCTAATTTTGTTTTATTTTCCTTCCAATTTCCAATGACATTTCATCATTGGTGGCTCACTCAATAATGGACATTTTTCATTGTGCTGATGCTAAGGTCAAAGGTGAATTGTATTATTTATGCCTTTCCCAAACTAACAAGCAAAGCAACTGTTCCAGATGTATCAAACTGTGCCTGTGTGTCAGTGCACTGCCCCTCTCCTGCTCACTGCCATGCACTGCTTCAGACCTGACCCCATGCTGCCACCAGACCACGGGACTGACCGGCCTGGCGGTGGTCAACAACCCCCACCACCGGCTCACCGTTCTCTATGAGAAGATCCAGCGCGTGCTGGCCAAAATGCCCGCTGACGCCTCGTACCGGACCAGCACCGAGACCATCGTGTCCGAGCGGCAGGCGGCCGTCCAGGCGGTAAGTGACGAGAAACGCTGGCTTTGGATGGTGAGGACCATCGGTGTATCGGACGTCCGACCCTTTCCCGCGCTCAGCCAGCGGAACAGAATGTTTTCGTCCCCCTAGCTGCTTCTTATTTATTGTGGTGTGAAGCTGACACTAAAAGAGGGTTAATCGTATAGTTCACTTCATACTTCATAGCTTACGTGAACAGGGTGGGAGCTACATTTACGAGAAAATACTGAGAGCGCATAAGAACCCCGTTATCGACGCGTGCCAAAACCCATACAAACAAAATGCTGGACGTGACCTCGCCTAATGAGTGTTTTGGTTGTTTGGTGCCCTTTAGGTCGATAAACGGCTGTTCCTAGATCATCTGTGAGAAACTTGTAACCGATACCAGTCTGTAGTAACACATGCACCTAAAGTCCTATATGTATATTCTGTCTGTAGTTGTGATAAGTGACTCCCTTCCTTCCGCTAGGACCTAGCGACTGGAGGTCCGGTTGGACTGCGGCCAGTGGCCCCCGTCCCTCCCCAGGACCCGGTAGCTCCCGATTGGGCTGCATGCGATGACCTATCCCTCCTCTCCCAGGACCCGGTAGACCACCTCCCGACAGGGCTGCAGCTAGTGACCCATGTCCCTCCCATCCCCCAGGAGAAGGACCCGGTCGCCCTGGAGGCCCGGCTCGGCTGCGGCCAGTGCGAGGAGCTGATCGTGCAGGCCGAGAACGAGCTGGTGCTGGCCAAGAAGATGCTGCAGTGGAAGCCCTGGGAGCCGCTGGTGCAGCAGGCGCCCGGCAGCCAGTGGAAGTGGCCCATCTGAGCGCCGAGTCCCTGTCCCCGTCCCCACGTCCCGTCCTGCCCGCCGGGAGTGTACAGTGAGCCGTGTACCGCCGCAGTGAATATATAGTGAGATCTGGAGTGTGGCCGTGAGTGTGAGGGATCCGGAGCCGCCTCTGGTGGAACGGGGAAGGACTGTGAGGTGCGAGCCGGCGGTGCCTGGACTGTGGAGAATCACACACGACTAGCTCTATGGGCGCAAAATGACCTTTGCAGTCGGCGCGCCCTAAAGCCCCAATAAACAACAACACGACTAGCTCTCACAATTACGACCTCCGCACAAAACACCACGGAGCTTACAATAACAAGTGTTTATTTCATCACCTGGCCATGTATAAACGACAGAGCAGCCCCGTCACAAAAATTGACCTCACGTTGGCTCATGATCGCCGGCGGCGGCGCAGAAAGTCATTGGACAGATCCCCTGGCAGCGGAGCGCGGCCGAAACGCACGGCGTTCCGGAATCACCAGCCCCACGCACCTGGAGGAGAGGACAGGCGGGCGTCAGACGGCAGTCACGGGAACGTTAAAGGGGAGAAGCGGTCGGGGGAGCTGCCGTACGAGACGCCTGGACCATCAGTTACATATTTTAGAAGGAAGCAGCAGGAGACAATTGAAGAGAATAATGTTACTCACCATCAAACCATCAAGCATTCATCTCCATACTGCCGGCCCCTGGATAACCCCTGAAGCAAACAACTGCGCCCTGTCCCGCCACGCTCCCTCTTCCCTGCCTCTCTCCCGCCTTCCGTGCTAACCGCTACCCTCTCGCTACCCCCTCTCACCATCCTCCGGGCCGTCCCCGGCGCCGTCCTCCACCTGTTCCTCCTCAGTCACCCACGAGCCGTTCGATCCGTCGTCCATTGGCACGGGCCCTCTGGCCGGTGAGCCGATGTCCAGCAGTGGCTCCGAGGTGTCCGACGGCGAGGGGCTCGGTGACGACAGGTCACTGCCGCTCGCCACAAACGACATGTCCGAGTCGGAGAGATCTGTCGGCATGGCGAGGGGTCAGTAGCTCAACTCAACTCAACTCAACTCATTTATTTTAACAGACCAGACAAAGTAAAGACACACAAAACATACAAATAGGATTGGTGCAAAAGCCTAGCTGAGCTGTTAAGGGGGGGGGGGGGGGGATGAGCAGTTATCAGGTCGACAGGGAAGTGAATTATTTCTGCCGGAACGGAAAGTGCTCTTGTTTCTGACATCAGCTGGTGCTGGGGAGGACGAGAACATATTTATCGCTTTGGTGGGCGGTACGTAAGCAGTGAGCCAGGCTACGGTACCGGGCAGAATAATGGGTGGGACTGGTCGGCAAACAAGCCGGAAAGTGAGCAGTGAGCAGGTTTGTTAGAAGGGAACTGCTGAGTCAGAAAGGTCTGGCAAGGGATACACGAGCGCGAAATGACCTTGGCAGTCTGGGCGCCATAAAGCCCATATAAACAACCAGGAGCGGTCCGAGAGAGTCTTACCTCCGTTAGTGTTGGCGTTCCTGCGCCGGTTCATACTGAAGAAACTGGCGATATCTGCAACAGGACATTGAAGTTTGACCAAAGTACTGAAGAAACATTGACAAAGCACAGCGACATACGTAAGCTCTGCGATACTAGCTCTCGTACTCAGCATCCAAGGAAACTTGAACCAGCTGGCTTTACAAGCAGCGTTGACTGAACCCGTGCGCAGTTTACTAAAACCACAACCTACGGCGCTTGACTGAGACTGGCTGTACCGCCCGGTCCAATAGGCCAATAGGCATGGTTCGGTACGTACCGCTGGCACCGTTGTCAGACATGTCGGAGCCGTCCGTCTCGTCCACGTTGTCCTCATCCTCTTGGTCATCCTGTGAAGGGAAAACGGAGGAACAGAGTCAGTACGGGAAACACGAGGAGAAACGGAGGAACCGAGTCAGTAAAGGACAGTACACACGGAGTGCGTAAGCCAGTAATTCAGTACAAGACACAGAAAGCGGTCAGAATCCGGAGAGGATAGAGGCCAAAGAGTCGGTACAAGGCATAAGCAGAGACAGCAACACAGCACCAAACATATAAGTGAAGTGACCAGCATCAAAACAGGTCCGCGAGCCAATGCAACCATACGTAAATATTCGTTGTAAATAGGTCGTGACCTGATCAAAATGAGATAAGCAATGGGCTAATTAATTTCACGGTAAATTTTTTGAAGGCTGTGCGAAAGTACTGGATAAATGAAAACACGGTCGTTAAAAAAACTAAACACAGCAATTGGAATTATCGACTAGGAATACGGAACCCTGTCGTGGGCGTGGCCTTTATATCCTATCTTGTCTCTCAGCCCGTGTCCGTGCCCCGTGTGCGGCTCAATGTATCCACCCCTCATCCCCGCAGTGCGGCGGTGCCACTCACCAGATCCTCGTCTCCGCGGACCCGCCCGATGTCGTAGAGGCGCACACACGACTGGTCCAGCTCGACGTCTCCCATTTCGAGCTGGGACTCGACGAGCGCCAGCCGCCGGTCGTCGTAGTTGATACACAGATCGTACACGTGCCGCTTCACGTCCACCGTCGCTGTCGGCCGCAGAGGGGGAGTGAGAGGGAGGGTCTAAGAGTCCTCATCTACACAGCGCTTACTGGCCGGCGATCGTTCGACTTGGACGCAGCGTGTCGCCGCGGGAAAATGGTTGCAATGGAAGCTTTTCCAGTCTAGGGTGACGGCGAAAATTAAGTACATGACAAACAGTGCATGGCACAATGATTCAGGACGATCATGTTTTCACCTAGGATAGTGGAGCAGCAGCATCCACTTTCACTTGACAAATTACCATCGAAAGAAAGCATCAAATTTCAAAAGGTTCACAACTCCTCGAATCTCCATTACAAGGATCGATACTTCATAAGACTTATCTTGGTTTCCGATTTCCACGGCAACCACCGACATCCCTACCACGCACACCCTAATCACGAGCGATCGGGGCCAACAATTGTCTCCAATCCCCACTAACCCTGCCTAGCCTCATAAGTCAGAACTCACCTATACTCGTGTAGTCGGTGGCGTCGATCACCTTGAAGGCAGTCACCTCCTCGAAGGTGGTCTGGTCCTGGTCGCGGTCACTGCCCGAGAGCCGCACACCAAACAGTACCTGGCCACCATTGGCGAACTTCACCCGGCACTGCTGTAGCGCCGGCACCGTTCGGAGCAGGTGGAACGTGCGCATATCCCACACCTCAGTGTTAGCCACAATCTCCAGCCCGTTCGGGTGGAACACGCCGTTGATGGTGTTGTTGAACTTATCGAACTTGTGCACCTCGCGCGGAGTCCGCACGTCAAACAGCACACCGTTGTTGAGCACCAGTTCGTCGGTGGGGTCGAAGGTGGCCCGATTGGCCTGGTAGCCGTTCCCGTCGCGCGGGCTCAGCTGGGTGACCCGCTGACCGGTGGTCAGGTCGTACAGGTTGGCAGAGAAGTTGTGGGTGCCCGTGGTGCGCTGTGTGCCCAGCACGTGGCCCTGAGAGAGCTTGCCGAACTCGACATACTCGTCCTCGCCGAAACTCATCCTGTGAACGAGAGTCACGGCAAGCCGTGAGTGGACAGGGAGAACGACTTCGACATTTGAGACATCGGGCAGTGAACAAATCGCAAGCAGTAAATTAGTAAGCTTCAGTTTGGTTAAAACATTAACCAACGCAATGCAGCCATTCCTCAAGGCGACATTAGCGTGTTTTGTACGCATATAACAGCTTTCCTATCACTGCAACTGTACGATTCAATGACAATTGAGCAAGTGACTCAACCACAATAATAAAAGGTCATATTGGCAATCTGCACCTTTCATGACCCAGCCCAAAGAACTTAAAGGGACCCTCCCACCTTCAAAAAGTTAATGAATTGGCATGAAAGTGATGTCGCTCGGTTCAGAAAGAGTGAAAACGAATATCTACCAAATTTCATCGAAAAATATCCACCGGTTTGAAGATATTAGACTTTTACTTTTTACTTTTTGGAATCTCCGCTGTTCCTAGCGACTTTATTTGAAAGTGCGGCACTTGTTGCGCGCAAAGCAGCATATACCACCGCGTGCTACAGAACGTTTTAGTCAAACATTTAAAAATCGTTAGATATCTGCGCTGACGTCACACATTCAGAGGGGTATTCCTATGCATTAGCCCCTCTGAATCAAAATGCTGCAATTTTAAAATTCAATATTTCCGATTTAAGGCATTTCTCGATGTTGTGAGTGCCGAAACCGGTAATTGTGAGCCAGGGACCCCATTTTGGCTATCTCAACTCAAATCTAATGTTAAGGTGGGAGGGTCCCTTTAATGCTGATGCTGCCAGCACCAAACCACCAGAATCCCGTCGGTACCCAGTGTTCCTTTCCACACATCTCCCTCCGATATGACTCCCCACTGTACGACTCACTTGCTCTCGAAGACGTTCTCGATGCTCCAGAGTGCCGAGAGGGGCCGCCGCCGTCGGGACGAGGTCAGCATGCGGTTCCCGGCGCGGTTCACCTCCAGGTTCGTGATGCTGGACGCGTGGAGGGAGGCGTACGTCTCCTCCACCTCGCCCGTCTCAAGGTTGAACGCCTTCACCGTGCCGTCGTGAGTGCCGATCATCATATACTTCATGTCCTCGGGGGTGAAGGTGGCGCAGGTGAACATGGTCGTGTCGTCATCGGCGAACTCTCTGAACGTCCGCACTGGGCAGTAGCGGCTGTAGATGAGCCGGGTATCCAGCCTCCGGCCGTCCGGACCGCCGTACGGAGCGAACAGCGGCCGCCGAGCCAGGCGCGCCGCCAGGTTCGCCGGAGCCGAGTGTTTCGACTTGGGCTCCGGGCAGCGGTGCGGCTCGAACAGGTCGAACTGGGGACAGGTGACCATGGGGTTTCGGCAGAGAGCGTGCTGGTTCATGAGGTACTCGGTGACCACCCGGTCCAGTGTGATGGGGTCGGAGGCTGCCGGTGCGCACGGACGTTCCAGCTTGAACACGCCGGCCGGGTCGACGGCTGACTTTTGCCGCATCGGCCGTGACGCCGGAGTGGAGACGGGCGAGAGGGTGGCGTCCGGTCGCGGCGTCCTGTCGGCCGAGCGGGGAGGGACGCTGTCACACGGAGGCACGGCATGACACCAGGCATCAGAAACACACTAGAACCAAGAGGGCGCACATGGTGGAGTGACAGTATCAGATACATTCACAGGTCAAGCCAGTCTACCGCCATGAGAGAAATGCTATCATTCGGCAAGCAAGGTTCATAGACAAGACAGTTGAAATTTGCACTGTTGAGGGTTACCCCAAATAATAGGTATGATAATATCAGTGCAAACGGGGCACTCCGGAGCACAAACTCCCGGAGCAGTGCAGCAGCTGGACCCCGTCCAGAACCACCCGCCGATTTCCAGCCCAGCCGTCTCTCCGCCTCGCTCAGTACCTGGCGTGGTTGACCCGGATGTGCAGCGGCTGGCCGTGCGGCGTGGAGCCCCCTCCGCCGCCGGGTGGCGGCCCGCCCCGCGCCGCCGCCGCCGGGGTGGCCGGGGCCGTCTGTCGGAGACTGGACATCTGCAGGCCGGGCAGACCGTCCCCGGAGGCTGAGACGCGAGAGCCGCCCGGCGTGCGGCCCTGGGAACGGCAAAGCAGCGTCAGGGGGGGGGGGGCACACAGTGTCAGAGGGTACACACAGTACCAACGGGGCTACACTACACTGAGTCAGGAGGGTCACGCACGTCGTCAGGGAGCACACACACAGTCAACGGGGTCACACACGATGTCAACGGGGCTACACAGTGTCAGAAGGTTACGGACAGGTTCAACGGGGCTGCGTAGCGTCAGAGGGCCACAAGCGGACAAAAATTCACCACTCACTGCCACTAGGTCATCCATCTTCACCCTGTTCTACCACTTCTCCCAGTCCTATCGCTAAACCCTATCTACTAACTACCCACCTCCCCTTCCCTCCATCCTTCTGCACCATCTACGCACCGCCAGTACTATCACAACCTCTCCCGCTCTCCGCCACTCACCAGAGACCGTGGCGTGGTGGGCACGGTGCCGACCATGCGCAGCGCCGCCGGGTGTAGCGAGTGGGAGGCCGCCTTACAGGCCGGCAGCGGCAGGCCGGCCTCCTGCTGCAGGGTGGACGCCGTCTCCAGCATACCCTGCCAGCGGTGACGCGGGATGTGAGAGAATCGAGGAGTCGTGTGCTCTGACTTCTGAGCAATGCCGTGCCATAGTGGCAGGCCATGTTGTGGCGTAGCCGGTCAGGACGACACTGGACTGCACGGAGTGGTATCTAATACACCTTTTTGCGTTGTTCGATGGCCAATCGTCATAACCATTTCGGCATCAGTTTGGACAAGCGTCATTCAGAATAACCCATCGGCGATGTGCATCACTGTTAGACAGTCGGCAAAACAGGCTGGACTCCATTTAACCATTCTGCATAACTCTTTGTCATTGAGCACAATGTTCGTCATAGGCAAAACACTTTGTCAGATTGTCATAATGCTTCGACATTTCACAAAATGGTTAGTCGATGTGCAAAATTCACCGGTACAGTGCGTAAACAATGACTGTTTATTTAAAACTTTCGTCAATGATCAAAATGTCAATGATGTAGTGCTTATCTAGCCAAATTCAATGTTTAACGTTAATCACGCATTCAGGGATGAGGCTTATGACAGTTCCAGCGCAATTTGCAACCAATTAACCGTTGAATTCCGAAAAAGGCAGTTATACCATAGCTACGAGGAGACTGCCGGCGCCATACCGAGTAGGCATGTAGATTCTTGAGCGTCGGACTCCTAAACGCTTCGATACAAACCACGAAGTCGGCCGTCATTATCGCGTCACTGCCTGTGCGATGTCATGGGTCAACAACGCCTCGGGCGGCCGCGCCGGTCGGACTCGCGAGGGAATGGCTGACAGATGGCAAGCCGGGCCCATGCCGGCCGGACACCTTGGTTTTTGGGGCGGGGCTGACTTATCCAGCCTGCATTGCCTGTTCCTTGGTGTTTGAGGCGGGGTTAACTTATCCAGCCTGTTGCTCTGTTGCCTGTCCATTTTTCAATCAGCCGATAACATGTCAGCTACGTCCATCTACATTGTACCTATGGCGCTCATGAACGCTACCGATTTTTATGTAGATCAATGGTCTACGAGTTTCGCCACCTATGCCTCGCACTGCACTGTATAAACCCGGTCATATTTATACACCTTTTTGCGTTGTTCGATGGCCAATCAGCAAAACCCATTCGTCCGATCAGCACATAGGTGGCGCCAGTGAGAGGCATTCCGGAAAAACCTTCAGCATATGGGCAAAACGGAATGCTGATCCCACTCCACAGTTCGTCAGTTGGTATTACCTTCGCTATTCGCCATAACTGATTGAGTTCCGGCAAAACCTTTGACGATTTGGATAAATGCTTCGTCATTCGTTAATATCCCTTCTTCGTTCACCAAAACATCCCCATGCTAATTTCGACATTCCTCATAACATTTCGTCAAAACTAAAAACAGATCGCCCCTTTACAGAGAAGTATAAATATGACCGCGTTTATACAGTGCAGTGCGAGGCATAGGTGGCGAAACTCGTAGACCATTGATCCACATAAAAATCGGTAGCGTTCATGAGCGCCATAGGTAGGTATGTACATACATACAATGTAGATGGACGTAGCTGACATGTTATCGGCTGATTGAAAAATGGACAGGCAACAGAGCAACAGGCTGGATAAGTTAACCCCGCCTCAAACACCAAGGAACAGGCAACAGGCTGGATAAGTCAGCCCCGCCCCAAAACCAAGGTGTCCGGCCGGCAGGGCCCGGCTTGCCATCTGTCAGCCATTCCCTCGCGAGTCCGACCGGCGCGGCCGCCCGAGGCGTTGTCCCATGACATCGCACGGGCAGTGACGCGATAATGACGGCCGACTTCGTGGATTGTATCGAAGCGTTTAGGAGTCGCTCTCGTCGACGCTCAAGAATCTACATGCCTACTCGGTATGGCGCCGACAGTCTCCTCGACCTCGTAGCTATGGTATAACTGCCTTTTTCGGAATTCAATGGTTAATTGGTTGCAAATTGCGCTGGAACTGTCATAAGCCTTATCCCTGAATGCCTGATTAACGTTAAACATTGAATATGCCTAGATAAGCAGTACATCATTGACATTTTGATCATTGACGAAAGTTTTAAATAAACAGTCATTGTTTACGCACAGTACCGATGAATTTTGCACATCGACTAACCATTTTGTGAAATGTCGAAGCATTATGACAATCTGACGAAGTGTTTTGCCTATGACGAACATTGTGCTCAATGACAAAGAGTTATGCAGAATGGTTAAATGGAGTCCAGCCTGTTTTGCCGACCGTCAAACAGTGATGCACATCGCCGATGGGTTATTTTGAATGACGCTTGTCCAAACTGATGCCGAAATGTTTATGACGATTGGCCATCGAACAACGCAAAAAGGTGTACTTCTCTGTAAAGGGGCGATCTGTTTTTAGTTTTGACGAAATGTTATGAGGAATGCCGAAATTAGCATGGGGATGTTTTGGTGAACGACGAAGGGATATTAACGAAAGACAAAGCATTTATCCAAATCGTCAAAGGTTTTGCCGGAACTCAATCAGTTATGGCGAATAGCGAAGGTAATACCAACTGACGAACTGTGGAGTGGGATCAGCATTCCCTTTTGCCCATATGCTGAAGGTTTTGCCGGAATGCCTCTCACTGGCGCCACCTATGTGCTGATCGGACGAATGGGTTTTGCTGATTGGCCATCGAACAACGCAAAAAGGTGTACATAGGTCGCGGTAAGCACAATCAGCACAGCATGACTGCAGTTCATTATAGTATGCTGGAACCTGATGGATTTCACCTCACAACCTTTGATTTCAAAACCACAAAAAAAACGTGCAGATACGGTTTAAAAGTCAAACATCACCGCATGATACTGCATCCATCCATCACCTTCTCCCGCTGACCCCCAAGCCTCCTCTAGCGTACACACCTTGCTGACGAGGTGGTTGTGCATCAGCTGTAGCAGCTGTTTCTCGTTGTAGTGGATGCGCGTCTGCGCCACCACGTTCGCCCGGTGGATGGTATCCATAGTGATGTCGGTATCGGCTCCCGGCAGCCGCTTCGACTTTCCCGAGACGAGCTCGACCAGCTCCAGAGCGTCGCGCTGCAGCTGTACGTGCTCAGCGCGCTTCTCCTGGAGAATCGGCTCTCGGATCACCACTGTGGGATAATCGGACGCCGGGCGTTAGACCCGGGGTGGCGGCAACGTGTTAAACGAACCAGCTAGCTTGGTAGATAATACAGTTTCGTTACACGTTGGGCAATCATTAGGTTCTGACAGACATTCACAATTAAGTCAGAGACGTATCCATTCAAACTTCAAAGACATCATACATAAGTAAAGCCTACTGATCACGTAGAATCGATAATCCAAAAACAGCTAGCAAATGTCGCTAACCAAAGCGCGTCACCGCCAGTCGTGTCCGAGGGCTCCTACTCACTCTGCAGCTGGCTGGTAGTGAAAAGCGGCAGCTTGGACATGATCTGTCGCGCGGCCTCGCTCCTGGCCAGGCCGACCAGGGCGCGACAGGCGAGCGCGCGCACGGAGTCGGCGTCCGTGATGGGCTGCTTGGCCTGCAGCAGCGACATCAGCACCATGATGCCGTTGTTGGTGCGCACCGACTCCCACATGACTGGCAGGAGGTCGTCGTAGGGCCGCAGCGCCCGCTTCTTGGCTGAGGCAGCCAGCCCGGAGGAGGCGGAGCCCGGCTGAAACAATGGTAAAGGGCCAGATGTGCCGGTCAAGCATAGAACGGAGGAGCCAGACTGGAAAAACGGGTAGGAAAGAGCTCATGCACAGGTGGAGATTGAGGAAAGCTGCGGAACGGCTTAACAACTGTGCAGATATTTAGGCACGGACTATCTCTCGAACACGTTGAAAATTGTGAATGAGTCAAAAAGTGAAATAATAAAGAGATGAATGAACGAATGCTCTAATGAACGATCCTCCTGCCGCAGCATAGCTCCAGCCTCCAGCTGTCTGTCTCAGTTTTCGATATGTCAGTGTCGGTGTCCGTTCCACCGGCCCCGACGTCCCAACTCACCCGGTGCATCGGTCCGCAGACGCAGGTGATGATACACCGAATGGCCGACTTCTGCACCTCCGGGTCCCCGATCGTCTCCAGCTCGGCCACGGCCACGATCAGGCCGATACCGACCAGTGAGCGGCCGCCGGGGAACGAGTGCCGCTCGCGCAGCTGCAGCTGTACGGCCGGCAACACGCAGCAGATGTTGATGGCGTCCAGCGCCGAGCGGATAGTCTCGCCTGCCGGGAGCGGGGTGGGTGAGAGTGGGCTGTTAGAGTGTAGGAGTCAGCCGAAAGTGTGAAGGTTGCCGGGGTCGTGTTGTAAGTAGCCCCTCCTCAGCATACAGCCTACTCCCATATATACCCGTCCTTCAACATAAGACCTAATCCGTGTCATCTACCCACCGTCCATCCTTCCTCATCATTGCCTTGTTTATCATTCCCGAGGTCCCCGCACAGCGCAGCACACGGCCTATCCCGAGCTGATAGGGTGTGCCTTACTAACTTTTACCAGAGTAGTTGATATCCTGACTGATGTCTATGATTTGCAGCAGCGTCTTGATGCCGCCCAGTTTGTAGAGCGTGTTGACGGGCCGCCATCGAGCGCGCAGCGGCATTAGCGTCATCAACGTCTCCATGTTCTCCTGCACCGACTCGGGCGTCACCTTCAGACTCTGTGGAGGGACAGATAGACACACCGACTCAGGCGTCACCTTCAGATTATGTGGAGGGACAGATACACATCACACAGGTAGCGTGTCATTTTCAGACTCTGTAGTCTGTGGAGAGACATCAGACAGACAGGGACGTCATCAACGTCTCCATATTGTCCTGCACCGACTCCGGCGTCACCTTCAGACTCTGTGGAATCACCGACGTCACATTCAGACTTCAGCGCACACAGGCACGCAGACACATTCTCAGTCGTTGGGTGATAACGCCCATGTCAGCTCAGACGTTCTACAACGGCAGGCAGCAGAGACCGACGGTCTGATATGAGAATGAGAAGAAACTGAATTTAAGGGGAGATACAGATACAGATAATATATTCATGACAAATCCATGGTGCATGGTTTTTCATTGGCACACGTCAAACATTTACAACACAAGTAAAAGACCAGGCATAAAAAGCAGCACTCAACCACTCGACCTGAGCTAACCATGCGCCTCACACTGTTCTTTCAATAGATGCTTTTTGAGCTGGCGCCGAAAGTTTCGCACGGTGACGTCAAACGGCAGAGAGTCGTACTCACGCACTGCGCTATAACAGAGCCGCCGGCGACCGGCTTCCGTGCGGATTCTCGGCATCGCGTGGTCGGCAGCTCTGCGCGTCTCGTACGAGTGACGCAGGGTGTCACCGATGGTTTGTGCGATCGCTTCCGGCTTTCCAGTCGTAGTGACCCTGTGCACCAAACTGATGCGATGGTACTTAGCAAGGTTAGGGGCATTCAACCACTCCAAGTCGCACAGAACGTCACTGATGTGGTCGTATTTACGACGGCCGCTAATAACTCGAGCACCGAAGTTCAGCAGTTTCTGCACACGATGAATCTGAGTAGCGGTGCACGTACCGTATAGCGAGAAGCAATATCTGATAACGGAGTTCACGAGCGCTTCTACTACCACAGGCAGAGAGGCCTTCGGTATAACGTGCTTGGCGTGCATCAGACCGATTAGGACACCAGTACACTTAGCTGTCACATAATCGATGTGCGACCTGAAGCTGAGATGATTGTCCATGACCACTCCGAGATTTTTGACAACTCTAGAGTCCGGAATAACAGCACCCATGGCAGTCAGTGTGACAGGCGGCAGTCCTCGCAGCATAGCGGGGGTTCCTAGTACAAGGACCTGCGTCTTAGCGGTGTTTAGCTTCATAGTGTTTGCGTAGAACCACTGGAAGAGACACTCTAGCGCCTGCTCCATGCGTTGGATGACCTGTGCCAAGTCACGCTTTTTACCGCTCACAAGAAGTTGAGTATCGTCTGCAAATTGCACGATTGTGACACCGTCAGGCAGGTACAGACACATTTCGTTTGCAAACACCGAATACAACATACAACTTAACGATCCGCCTTGGAACACGCCAATTGTGTTTGACTTGACACTCGACCGCACGTATCCACCGTCACCACTGGCCATCTGCACCTGCTGAGTGTGTCCGCTTAGGTAGTTGCCGAACCACTCGGTATCTACCCCATACAGTGCGAGCTTATCCAGCAGTCTCCCGTGCGGCACAACGTCAAAACATTTGGAGAGGTCCAACAGCACCAGGATCGACACCTCTCCAGCGTCCATCGCCTCCAGCGCACGGTCGGTGATGACGCTGAGTGCCGTCTCGGTGCTGCGGCCGCTGCGGTAGCCATGTTGGGTGGTTGACAGGAGCTGGTTGGCCTCCAAGTACTGCACCAGCTGGCGCTGGACGACCCGCTCAACAACCTTCATTATCGCCGGCAGGATGGAGATCGGGCGAGTGTTTGCTGGCTCCGATGGTCCTTGTCCTTTTGGGATTGGCGTTACCATTGCATGTTTCCAGGGGCCGGGCACGTTGCTGGTCGTCAGGCTGGAGTTGACTATGTCCAACAGGACGTGACCCATGCCCCAAAAGAAGGTGCGGAACATGCTGACGCTGATCCCGTCGTTGCCTGTTGAAGTTGACGGCTTCATGTGTAGCAGGAGCAGGCCGAGCGTGTCCATGTCGATCGGTTGCGGTCTGAACCGGCTCGTCGTGACACGCGGCAGTCTGACCGGCACTGGTACCGTGGGCGGGGGGACGCTGGCAGCTGTGATTGGCCCTATGCTCACATAATAGTCGTTTAGCGCGTCGGGCGTGGCGCTGGGAACCGCAGCCTCTTTCTTGCTGCCGATGATGGGCCGTAGTACCCGCCAGACTTTGCTAGGCCCTGCTTTGGCCAGTTCCCGGTTGATGTGGGCCTGCTGGTCTTTCCGGACAGCCGCGCGGCACAGACGGTTCAGCTCCTTATAGTTCTCTCGGTCGCCACCAGGGCGCAGGGCCTGTCTCCGTCGCGCCATCAGGTCTCTGGTAGGTGCCGAGACCAACAGGCTCCCAGGAGGTCGCTGCTGCACCCTCGTAACGGGTGCCACTGTGTCCAGCTGCCCGAGGAAGATGTCGCAGAACGACTCCCACTTGCTGGCTGTCAGCTGTGTCCGGAACACTGGGCTCCAGTCGATGTTGTTCAGCTGCCGGTTGAAGCTGTCGGCGTCGATCCGGCCGAGTCGCCGGCGCTGTGTGACCGGGCCGGCCACCCTGGTCCTGCCGGTGCACTGCAGCACAGCTCGGGTGTAATCGTGCGGGGTGCCATAGTGGCAGCGCGTGACGCCAGCGCGCAGCAGGTAGTCAGGGCGGCTGACAGCCACGATATCCAGCAGCAGCGGAGCCAAACAGACCAGACCGTCTTGAGATGTCGTTACTGCTAAGGTTACAAACACAGACAACAATAGTACTGCTGTTGTGTACTTAAAAAAAAAAACGCGTTCCCATCAGAAGCCCCGCCAGCTTCCGACCAAAATCCCTATTACCAAGGGGATTTGGTCCGTGCTATAACCAAAGGGCTTCCCGCCACCAGAGGAACTTGCCACCCTATCACCAGAGAAGCGCACCGCTCTCCCCGCCCGATACCCTCCCGTTCTCTCTCCTTCTCACCAGGTGTCCTACGGCTACGAGTCTACGACCCGCCCTATCCCTCTCCCTCCCACCGTCCTCTCCTCCTCACCAGGTGTCTGGCGAATGGCGATCCACCCTACCCTTACGTCCCCACATCGCCTCCCCACCCAGAGGGCATCCCTCTCCTCGCTCACCAGGTGCCCGGCACTGAGCGGCGGCGACCGTTCGGCGGCCGAGCCGTGTTTCAGCTCGTCCGCCTTCAGTACCAGGTGCGCCTCCAGGTAGCATTTGAGCGTGAAGCACACGTGGCGCATCGTCTGACGCGCCGTGAACTCATCATCGTTCTCGTCGAACGTGTCCACGTTTCCCGTGGTGATCATACGCAGCGTGCCGACCTGGGGGAAAGGCAGGTCAGGTCCTGTCCACGTTACCCATGGTTGTCATATGCAGCGTGCCGACCTGGAGGAAGGGTCAGGTCAGGGCAGGTCGAGTCGTACACCAGCGTAAAGGGCTAGCCGGAAAGTGACGGATGGTATGCTTGAAACCTAAGTTCACGGCCAAAAATAAATATTTAGCGGTCTAGGCCAAAGCTGAAATTAACAGCTAATAAAGCGGCATACACGTCAAAGAACGATTCTCCAAACCATTAAAATCAATCAAGTGCAGTTCAGCCACCCCATTCAGTTGTGTCGCGTACATAGGTATCTACCGTCTGCCGCTTAGCCAGATCAGATCACCGCAGCCAGGCTTCCTAAGCCGCGCAGTACGACGGTACTCACCACATTGAGCAGCTTCCTGAGGCCGTCCTGACGGTCAAACTGCTCCAATATCGGCCGGAACTGGAAGTTGAGCCCGAAACACATGGTGGCGTGGCAGCGTCCCGACTCGTGTGAACACTCGAGCAGCCATAACGCGTACCTGAGGACAAATGGGGAGAGGGTGAGGGTCAACACCACGACATACCCACAGCAGCAACTCAGGTTATCCTTTAGGACATTCTCATTATAATATACCGTATAAGCTACGAACAAACGACGAAAATATATACGATGCCACGAGTTTTGTCAGGTGCCAGCAGGTAATCATTGCTCCCTATCAGCACTAACTGGACCCACTGCTGACCACCCTCACTGACCTGACCAATTTGCTGATAGCCCCTCACTGAGCTGACGAGTTTCCTGATGACCCCACTCACTGACCTGACGAGTTTGCTGATGACCCGCTCTGGCAGCTGACAGATACGCTCCATGGCGTCCTCACTGTATGCCAGGTAGTAGAGGCACATGGAGGCGCCCGTGGCAGCGATACCCGGCCGCGGGATCTCCAGCAGCAGCTGACGGGGAGACGGGATGCACGGTTACACGCTGACGAGGGTTATACAGGGCACAAGTGTCACACGACCACTGGCAGGCGGGGGGGGGGGGGGGGGGTGATGGTACGGCCGTACCGCAAGCAGTTTTAGGCAGACTTACGACTTAAAGGTGTTTAAGTCTACATCCTTCGCCAGAGAAACGGAATCTTTCGCGCGGTTCCAGACAATTTCGTAGACTCAGAATTTTCGTAGAATAAATTAAACGTATGTGCAGGCACATATCCTCAACAGATGGTTGCCGTAAATACTAATTACCACCAGTGAATCTATGAAACGTGCAGTACCTCCGCCTAAGTACATATTTGACGTGTCGTCATCACACAACGGAAGGACAACTCAGAGTGAGGCAGTCGCAGTGCGCACCCACCTCCAGGCCGCCGCGGCTCAGGAACTCGAGTGTGAACTTCTTGTGGCAGAGTAGAGCCGACAGGTACTTCAGGGCCTCGAAGGCCAGCCGGGCGTCGTGATTGTGTCGGAAGTTGATGTAGCGGAACACCAGAGACATCATGTTGTTCTCGAACACGTGACCCAGCCACTGTCGGAGGGAGGACGTATCACAGCGGGGCGGGGCGGGCCGGGTCGGCCGGCCGGTCCTGCATAGCGGCAAAGTGGAAAAAAAGGCTGATTAACCCGCGGAGCCAGTGAACCAACAGACTATCTTACGCAATACACAATAGACCTTCTATTTCTACATTCCGTCCCTCCTTGGGCCGTCCCAACCCTGCACTTAATCCCACCCCGATAACGCCGACCCCGACCGTCTGTTATTCTTCTCTCCAGGCGTGACTAGGCTGCTATATTACACTCTGAAAAAGACTGCCATCAAAAGAAGCTGGACGCAAGAGCCAAGCTGCTACGCGCCCTAACCCAAAACAAAAACAACGTGACTAGGCTGCCCCACTCATTTCTAGGGGCGCACTAACAGGGCACTCTTAGCACTGACCAGCTAAATGACTGTCCTCCCCCTCTGATCCCAGGGTTGCGCTGGCTCTGCAATTTTCCACCCGCACTGACCGGGTACTGCCAGCGCTGACCGACCTCCTGGTACTCGCCGAGCGGCGTCAGGTAGCGCAACAGCAGGATCTGCCGTGTCGAACTCGTCACCGGGTGCATCTGGAACGTGCCGATCAGCTGCGGACGCAGCTCCGCCCACGACGAGTTGCTGTTCTCGGCCGTCAGCTGGTGCGAGCCCGCGCAGGTGGCGCCGCGCGGCGGAGACATCAGCAGGCTGCAGTTAGCGCCGCCGCCGCCCGCTGGAATGGGAGTGGTGGCCACAGTCTGGTCAGAGGTGCTCGGAGAGTGGCTGTGTGGAGGTATAGGGGGGGGGGGGGCAGGTATGGAGGCTCCGACCCGGCTCAGTGACCCACCTACCACCGACTCAGCAAATTTAGTGCAATGAAGCATTTTCCGTAATAATCAATGATGACTCAGAATACTTTTTAAAGCCACAAACGTGGTTTAAAATATTACGTTAAGGCATGGAAAACGAAGCAAGTAAAATAACCTAAAATTCTCCTGTCCACATGTCAGCAAAATATAGCAGCATTCACAAAACAAATGAACAATAACACAACACTACGAAAAGGCATACTATATAGTAAAATGAATGCCACACAATGTACATATACGGACACTTACAACTAGACGACAAATTCCTTAATGGCGGGTCGTCCTCTTTTTTCGCCTCACCATCTGTAAGCAAACATGAGGCACGACATTCAGCGAAATAAAACGGGACCAATTATCCAGCCTTTGACTACTACAAGGATGATAAAGCAAGGGTATTCCAAGAGCAAGGGGGACAAACAAAGACTGATGTGTAAGCATATCAAAAGCAGAAGCAAAGTGGCAACTAGGATCACTCTATAGCATACAGAAATGACGGTAGCTGCGAATGGGACCGGCCGGACTAAGGGATATGACAGTGAACAGACATGCACCTCCCTCTACCCACCCTCCCTAGTCCCTACCCCCGGAGACGCGCGCTCAGCGGTGTGACCTACCCCGTGTGCCAGCTCCAATCTGTGCGAACGGCCGCTCTGGAACGTGTGCCGCCGGGGCCGGAGCCGGAGCTGGAGCCGCAGCCGGAGCTCCCGGGGGCCAGTCGGTCCTGCCGGGCGCGCCCAGCATCTCCGTCTGGAGGTCCCTCAGCCGCTGCATCATCACCGGTACCAGGTGCGCATTGGACTCCCTGCGGCGGTAGAGCGCGGGTTATAACGGTTACACGGGCAAAACGTCACACGACAAAATGAAAGCAGATTTAAGGTTGTGACACAAAAGGAAAGAGAGTAACAAACACATTTCAACGCTTTATGAGTAAGTAACTGTCCGATCCATCTACCAAAAATATCAAATTTTCGAGCTTTCAACTCGGCTAAAATCATGACACTGTCCCAGCACGAGCCACGAACCTGAAGTTTCCGGCAATATCTTGCACCTCCATGGCGGCGGCTAGCAGGCCGGTGGCGTAACTTCTGAGCGGCTCCTGGGCGGACTCAGCCCAGCCGAACAGGCGGCGGATCAGACTATCGGCGTCCTGTCAGAAATAAAATTACAGTGTCATATACTGAACAAACAGGCGGCGGATCAGACTGTCGGCATCCTGGCACAAACGCATATCGTCATATGCCGTACCACAGACACATACCAAATTTGACTGTTGGTGTCCTGTCACAAACACCTGCCGTCATATACCAAGGATGTAGGGATCATAGACAGTAGACACGGTATCACGCCGACGACACGAAATCGTAATGTAAAACACACAACAGGATATGACAGAGAAAAGTTCGCCACACAGAGCACTCAGTCGACTAGTCCCCTGTCGATTGACTTGTAACCTCGGTACTCTACCCTCCGCGACTGTCCATGATGCCGGCACCGTTAATCGTGTGTGTCCTACCCGAGGTCATTCAGCCAAAATGTCCTCTTACCTGGAAGACGACCGATGTCTCCAGGCCGGCCATGATGTCCAGCAGGAGCCGAGCGGCGTGTGTGTTCAGCTCGGTGGGGTCGCGATTCAGACCGGCCGAGCGCACCCAAAAGTTCTCCCGCGTGTACTCCAGCACCAGCTGTCAAAGGAGCGTCCCTTCAGCACAAACTACGGAGTATACCAACCATTACAGATATAATACTGCAAACAGTCAGTCATACAGCAGTCTGTTCAGCATGCAGACACCATGAGTTTCTGTCCCAAGGACTCCAGTCATAAACATATTTCTTTATTGTAAACTGCCTGTAGATACGATGCTTCCCAAAACAGCCCACAGGATGCATGCAATTACATACATAATGATGAATGTCTCACCTTATCCATAAAGTTGTCCTTTTTGCAGATGATTTTGAACAGCTGACCCAGGGTGCACATTGGGTTGACCCGTGTGGGATGGCGTTCATCGAAGGGGTCTGGGTCTGTTTTCAGATAATTATTATTTTCTTCCTCTACAAGTTCTGCTATCCTGTGAGTGGATGAAGCATATGATGGCATTGGGTAGTAACGAAAATAATACATAAGCAAGTCTCTACACAGCTACATTATTTGCAGTCATAAAACATCAGTAACTCGTAACGCATAACGCATCAGTAACGCAAGTGATTGTCAATAGTTAGCTCTTGAAACCAAAAATGGGTGGCAGCTAACCAGGCAGGTCTAGATCTATTAATATTTTATCATAATACACTGAGCATGACTGGCAAATGGCACCTCTTATAAAACATACCTTTTGATAGTGGGCGTCGGATCCCAGTTTCCATCGCGTACGCCGTCTTCCCAAGTCCTGATGAGCTCATTGAGCTCATTAATACTCTCGTTATTTGGCCCTCCGCCTCCGGACATCATCATGATTGTTCAACTAGGAACGCCTGGACACCTGAAATGGATGGTAGGAAATCCCTTATTGTCTCAGGTGTGATAGCTTTTTACAGGTCAGGCAGCTGACATGTCACAATTGTTGAGCATTAGGTACAACCTCAAACATTTAGCTAGTAAACAAACCTTTGAATGTTAAGTAGCATGATTTTTAAAATACATTTCGTCCGAACCTTTTGAATGGAGCCCTCCGAACCTTTTGAAGGATTCCCAAGGACAGAGCCCTCGCTGAGCGGAGCTTGTTGTGTTGTCCCTGCCCTCTACCCTCCGATCGGGCAATTCCGGGTCTATGGCAGAATTTAGAGGCAGAGGTTTAACCCTCGCCGGCACAGGCCATTTTGCGTCCTTCAACGGCAAAAGGGTACGACCCCCTCGCGTTTGGCACCTGATCCAGCTAGAGCTTCGTGGAAAAAACGAGCGTGTTGCCCGTCACGAGAGGAAGCCGGTGATACCCAATCTTAAGGTCCTAGGTCATCGGTTGACCTTCCAGGTCAGGTCAATGACCCAAAGGTCGGGAAAATCGGGATCTGTTAGAAAGTCGTAAAGTGTGACTGCTGTGGAGTTTTTCGGGGTGTTGGTCACGAATTTCGTGTTAGTTTTGATCACAGATGATGTCTTTAGGCTTTTAGACAAGGTCGGGTGAGGTCAGGTCAGGTCAACCAGTCGGGGTCGTGACGTGTATTCGTAGTACGTGTCAACCGCCTCTGACAGCCTCGTAACATGTTACGAAGGCACCAAAACTACTTTACTTTGTAAGTGTTCAAATGGTTGCTAAATTCGAATTCAGCTTTTAAAAAACTAGCCTAGAAACACGTAAAACTCGAAAAAGTGAACCGAGGTCACCAAAGGTCAATGACCTGACCAGACCTTCAGGTGACCTTGACATCCACCCTTATTCATGGGAGCAACATCAAATCACATGTTTGAGCGCTTGAAACTACGAAAAGCTTGCAAACGCGCGGCTAACGCGAGCCGACATACCTACGCCGAATCGCGATTCCGGCCAAACATGGTCTCGGAAAGTGGGTCTCAGGTCAAAGATCATTTCGGTCAGGACTCAGGGCCATGAAATTTTCAGGGTAGGTGTAAAATTGATCATCAATGCGAGAGTACTGAAGTTTCGTCGCAATCGGCCGCTTTTTACGCGAGTTATTCGCGAAAAACCTTGGGGGGGGGGGGGGTTGCATCAGGTCTCCGTCGATAGTGGTACCCAGGTCCTTTTCCTCGGTTCCTCTTTCGATGATGGAGTCGTTCAGGCAGTAGGTCTTTCTCCTCAGTTCCCCTTTCGATGATGGAGTCGTTCAGGCAGAAGGTCTTCCCATGGTTGTGTCTGCCAATGTGCATCACTTTGCATTTCAAGGCAGTGAAGGGCAGGGGGCAGAAGCCACTTGCTTGACCAGCAGGCGAGAACGCCGATGTCGGCCTGGAACTCGGCAGAGCTTTCTGTCACGTGGCCGTGCAGATTGGTATCGTCGGCGAACAGCTTAATGCGGCCAGAGATCTGACCGGGCATGTCGTTCACAAATATGTTGGACAGGATTGTTGGTGCCTGGGGGATACTGCTGGTCACCGGAGTCCAGTCGGACTTCGCACCTCTGATGACCACCCTCTGTCGGCGATCGAGCAGGAAGGCGGCGATCCAGTCCAGCAGTTTTCCTCTGATACTGTAGCCATACAATTTTGTGAGGAGACGTTGGTGAGTGACAGAATCAAAGGCCTTGGAAAAGTCCAGGCATGCAACAGCAATGGGTTCCCCGGGCCCTACAGACACACTCTAGACTTCTATCGCCTCTAGCAGCTGAATCGAGCAAGTTACCTTTGGGAGAAACCCATGTTGTGCTTTATGGATAAGCCCTGCATAGGAAAAGTGCTGAAGAAGGTGGCCATGAGTGATAGATTCCATGACTTTCGATGAAACCGAGGTGAGAGACACTGATTGGTTGGTAACTCTCAGGCTTCTGGCAAGTACATGAGAGTAATCTCGCCTGTCTTCCAATCTGAACGCAATATACCACAGTCAAGTGATTTTCTGAACAGGGTACTGAGCGAAGCGCAAATGACTGGAGCTGCAGCTTCGCAAAGTAGGTACCCTGGGGTACATGGCGTCTGGACCCGGAGCACTATTTGGCCTCAAGAAGAGTGGTTTTGACTTCCCCCTCAGCAGACATTTCAAGGTCTTGCAGCATGGGTCCCTGGGGACCTGTCAACAGTCAAAATGAGGGCAAGAGTGATCAGCAGGCATAAAAAATGCTACTGATGTATCTGCTTAGTGAATTTGATTTCTCCTGGTTATCAGATATAAGATTCCCATTTTTATCGCAGAGTTTGAGTATCTTAAGAATGCTTTTGGGTTCCACTTCGGTTGCTCTACCAGCTGGGTCTCGTATTTACTTCTGAGGTGCCTTGTTAGCTTCCAAAGCCTATTCCTGCATCTCATTAACCTGACATCAACATGATCCGGGGCATCACCAGATTGAGAGTAAAAACTTAATAAATTCACAAAACTAAAAAAAATGAAAAGAAAGAACACAACGTTTCAAGGTTGAAACGTGAGACCACACAATACAAGACTTTTACACAGAATATTTATAAAAAACATCCAACCACATTGTTGAGTCAGGCAAAGTTATGTTACATTAGGTAAGGTTAGGTCAGGTTAGATTAGGTGGTGTTATTTCTGCTAGTAGTGCAGCTGTTTTTTTTTTTTGGCATTAAATGATCATGTAAATAATTTAATAGATCAAGATTGATGCATGGTTTGAGACAATATGGTGTTGTTTTATGAAAAAAGGTGACTTCAACTGCACAGCTAAAAGCCCTGTGAATGCGTTTAAAGACCTAAATACATGTACAACTATTTGAAAAATACTGAGAGCCCCAAGTAATGTAGGCAAACCTTTCAAAACCGCCAAAAACGGCGCATCTGATTCATTGAAGACGCAAACAAACTACGAAAAAAAAGAAGCTCACCGACGACTGTAATAACACTTGTGGCCTTTCTGAAACGTTTCTCGATCTGTTAAATGGCTATCTGTATATTCAAACATCCCATGTCATCCTCAATTGATCCATATATTTAAACAAGCGTTCCGAGAGGCGCCGAAAATGAGCCATTCCAGAAAACTAATTAAGAAAAACACATAAGATGTTACAATGTTGTAACATGATTTCAGCATAAAATCAACTATGCAATTTACGCATTGAAAAAGTTGCAGCTTAATCAGGCATCGACAAATTGAAATAAATCTCTCAATGCAACACCCCACTCACCACCCACGTTCCTAGGGCCTTGCCACGTTCCCATTGAAAACGCGTGTTCAAGCATGCATTATTTACATTTTTCATGGATGCCAGGAGAGTTGAATATTCTAGATTTTTGATGACGTCTTAGTAGAATTTATAAACACAAACTTGCTTTATTTAGGCCTTAATAACACTATTTTGTTTGTTTTTGTATAAAATAATCACCAACTTTTTTTCAAAAGCTTCTTCCATTTTTTTTACATTGCAGTAGCTCTGTAGTCTGTCTTGATCCAATCCAGCTAGGATCCAGCCCTACCTAAATATGGCCTCGTGGCCTATCAAATCGTCTTCATTCTTCTGTCATTTAGTTGCTTTTTCTTTTGAAATAGCTTTGAAAAACGTTTTTTATCAATCATTAGGGTAATGCAATAAAATCAGAAAACTTTTCATTCAATCACTTTCCGGACCCGGTGCGATATTTTCTTGCCTTTTTGGCTTTTTTCGACTGTTCAATGCACTAACATGCCTACATTGACTCTCACTTTCCCTTTTTTGAGAAGCTTCATCTCGGTTTGTTCCTATTTCTTCCATAACAGATTTATTTTTCAACAAAAATATTGTTGAGATTTTTGCAGCGTTTTAGCTGTCTTGGTAGCTATGACAACTGCATCTCTCTCCACCAATGGGAAAACGCGTCAGTTCCACATCATGCCGGATTGGCCGGATTGGATCTCTTCTTTCGCCCTCGATCTCTCAGCGTGCTGAATATTGTGCGGTTCAATATGTTTTTCATTTCAATTGTAATTTGTACAGTATTTTCCGTTCAGGCACAAGGAGTTTACAAGCGATTTGAATACAAATATGGATTTAAACCGCCATATCTTGCTCAAAAAGATGGAACTGTTCCGTTTTGGGAACATAAAGGAAGTAAGTTGAAGTAGGTCAATTATATGAGTTGACAATTATGATGATTTTGACTGTTGTGTTTAACCATCTATCATTTTTTGTTGTCGACTGTGCTATTCCCAGATTATCATGTTGTGTTATGACTACACATCATTTCTTCAATTTTCCCTACTTGGTTGTACTGCTGTCATTGGTTTCCGAACCTAATACATCATTTTTAATTGAGATTAGCGAGAAATAAGTGAAAGATTCAAGGACCAAGACCTGACCATTTCCTATTAAAAATCCACATGAACTCAGGCAGCATCAACAATGCTGGAAATATGTCCGGTGATGTCCAAAAAAGCTTACAACATCTTGATCTATGAATTAGAGTATGCTTCAAATACACCTTAACTATTTACCCCACGGGGCACGTTCTTCTGTTGCTCCATTTTGCATGGCATCATCCCATTAAGTCCTGACTCCTGCATGTTTGCTTCACATGCTACCTGTAGGGCTGATAAATGCAGTAATTTTCCTATCCCATTACTCTGCAATCTTACCTTGCCTCATTTATGTTTAGCTAGGTTTTCCAGAATGTTATGATCTCATCAAAATTGTTGTGCTGTGCATGATTCATTGCATACCTATTTCTGCCCAAAGTTAATCCAGTTTCTAAATATGGCTGTCTGGAATTGAATTTAATCGTATGGACACACGTCCTGGCCATCACTATTATTTTGGAATTTTTATGTGTAGGCTCAAGATTCATTCCACCTTTATAAAATACCTGGATTACTTGTGTAAGTGTGCAAAGTGTATACCTTATCTATGACCCATACCATATGACCCTATGATCAGTTCCTAAGAGCAACTTTCCTCATATCAGTAGGCGGAACTATGGTCAAGCGTACCCATTTTCGGGAACGCATTTCCGTTCCCATGTTTGGGAACGATAAACCCAAATATGGGAACGCCATGTAGGCATTATTTAAAACAAGAAAAAGAACCGTTAAATGACGTCCAAAAAATATAAAACGATCGTGAACCGCCTGATATTTGTCTCAATATTGTTGGGAAAGAGTTTGATATTGTAAGGCCCATCGTAGTTTCAAATCGTTCCCCTATTTCTAAAGCAGTCCATCATCCGGGCCGCGAGCCCAAATTTGGGAACGCTCTCGTACACTGGCGCTGCAAGCGTTCCTTATTATGGGAACGGCGTACCCAAAATTGGGAACGATTTCACCGACGCCTTTCAGGGGCTCTTTTCATTAACAAGCATCACGTCCAACGCCGCAAATTATTGTTAACGCAACAATCATCAGATGACCTTTCCGGCAAGACCGTCGCATGTTTCGCCCGGTCTTCTGCGCTTTTATTCCCGTCGATCTCGCAGCGGGCACGCCCCCTCTGCAGGATTACGTAATTCACAACGCTCAGCGATGTTCAACAAGGTCTTCCATACCTATATCCACCGTCCGCGCTGAGGGTGGAGACATGTCAAGCACCTGTCTGTTTATCACCGATAGTTGACGAGTACAAGGAAGTATCCAAAAATGGGAACGCTGAATATGTTACACCCTCAAAACACCTAGTCCCAATGAAAATCTAGTTTTTTTCCTTTCTTGATGAGTGTAAGTGGCAAAAGGCCTGGTAGGATGGGCACGAGGAATTATCGAAATCAGCATAAAAATTATAAATAAGCCACACAGAGCGAGCTATATAAGAGAAATTCCCCCAAAACGATCACGCTTAGAAACACGGAAGACAAAAACCACGCTCATGACGCTCCTTATAAAACAACTCTAAACAGCTAGCATCCAAATAAAATATGTCTTTCCGGGATGATAAAATACAGCTGGATAATTTTCAACCGCTTAAACTGAGTTTACAACAGTAGCTCGGTAAATTCACTCACGTTCCACGCGGTCGTCCGCCCCGACACAAAAGTCAACAATATTACCTCGGGACCGTCCGCGTCTTCGCTTGCATTTGTCAGCATCTGGTGTCGATAGTATGAAAGTTCATAACCAGGCGAAAATTATTATACTTTACCTCAAACTAAAAAATGCTTCATTTTCCTTAAAATTGCATGCTAAATGTCGTATAACCCATATTTCCACCATTCAGTCATTTTCAAAAAATCATTAAAAATATCATTCCACGGTCAATTTCCTTGTTCCACGGTCAGATTAAAGATAACTTTATGGAGATTTAGTAGATACTTAAATCAGCGTGCACTTTTTTGAGACGTGATGCACTTTTGAGTTTTAGTGAGAGAACGGCCGAAAAATTGCCTTCCGTTCTCATAAATGGGAACGCCCGTTCCCATATTTGGGAACTCCGTTCCCAAAAATGGGAACGTTCCTATATTTGGGTACTCATGACCATAGTTCCGCCTACTGATATGTATTTTTTTCATCTCATCATTATCATATCAATGCTTGGGAGCACTTATGTGCAAATGTTTGTGATGTGGGATTTCACAGCATGCATACTTCACCACTCACCTTCTGATATATCTGCTTCCTGAGGCCGTCTCCTGTTACAGTCACTGTCAGTGGTGGTCACTGAGACTTCAAGAGCAATGTCATTTAAGATTTATTTGAGAAGTGATTCAGAACTGTGCTTGTGTCAGATGATTTTGAACCATACCTACTGTCCATGTTTTAGATTTGTTGATTGTTAAGAGAGCTTTTAGACAAATTTATGAGTAATATATTTTCCTGATTATTCATGGTCATTATTTTGAGGTTGTTGGCCACTGTGTCAAATTGATCACTAGTTTCAGTTGTCACTGCTTTTAACATTATCAGGTGTTAGCAGTTGTTCCAAGGATAGAGGAGCTTCCATAGTGAAAACTGCATGTGTTCCTGCCTTTTCTGATCAGCTGCACACAACAATACCAGCTGAGTTGCAAAGGCAGCCTCATAATTGGATTAGTAAAGACTGAAAAGGTTGTGTGTTTCGTGGGCCTCACCTTTCCATTCCCCTATTTCAGACACCATCGCCAGCCCGGACAATGTGCGTGTCACCCCGTCCCTCAAGAGTCAGAAGGGTATGATCTGGAACAAGAACCAGGTCACCTTCAAGTGGTGGGAGGTCGAGATGTGGTTCCGTATCACCGGCAGGGGCCGCATCGGCGCCGACGGACTGGTGAGTTCACGGACAGGGGGCCGATGGTTCGGGGGAGATCACGAGCAAGGGCTGACGGACTGGTGAGGTAATGAACCAGGGCTGACGGACTGATGAGGTCACAGACAAGGACTGATGGACTGGTGAAGTAGTGTGGTCAATGACAGGGGTCGACGGACTGATGAGCTCTCGGACAAGGGCCGATGGTTTGGGGAGGTCACGGGCAGGGGCTGATAGACAGAGCTCACGGACAGGCGCCGTCGGTCTGGTAAGAGCTCGGACCCTGACCATCGGACTGGTGAGCTCACTGGAAGGGGCCAATGTATTGGGGAGTCCACATGCAGGGGCCAAGGGACAGTGGAGCTCACGGACCTGGGCCAACGGAGTTTTAAGTTTTCCTGGCCACTTCTGTGCTAAAGGAAGGCCTAAAAAGTTCCACGGTTACAAGAGTAACGAAATTTTACGTTTGTAACGGGTAACTGGCTCGCGGTCGATACAAAATCCGTTTAAATACGCATTGCCTTGGTCATACATCTAGGCAAAGACCTCTAGTTATTTACCGGTGCATATGTACACACTACACATGCGTTTATTAGCGGTAAACCGCTGGCATCCCGCGTCCAGTCCCGAGTACCGCGTACCGTTTAGGAACGCTCGCTCCCCAGACTCTCAGTCACCACCCCGTGCGCTAAAACCATCGTCACCACATGTGCAGTCAACCCAAGTCGACCATAATGATTTATCGGCTGTGTGACTAATACGCTGCTGTGGGTAACTGCAAGCAGCACGCGATCATGAATGTTATGCTCCTTCTCATTCTTTGCTGTCAGTGAAATGAAAAAAAAATGTTATACATTCCCGGGGCCTGTGACTGATCCGTGCTCGTACCCGTGAGTAGCCCGAAATAGCCGGTAAACGTGATTTTAGACTATGGTGACTCATGTTCACTGATCAATCATCGCTGATCACTGATCGTGAGTAGTTCATCGTGACTCCTTGCCGTGAGTTCAACGCTATGTAACTGTGAGCTGACTGGTGGTGATCTGTTATTTAAGAGTCAGCCCACATTTTAACCGGTGATGGTGATTTTAACTTCCGGGATCATTAACTAGGAGGTGACGTTTGGCCATTGATTGTGTACCACGCGACGTCCAGGCGATGTGGTACGATCGAGGATGGTCCGTATCCTGAGCTAACCTGACCGGACCTGTGCGGCGTCCAGGACCAGGCAATGGGGTGTGGTTGAGGAAGGTCTTGTGACCTGACCTGACCTGTGCGGCGTCTAGGCGATCGAGAATTTCCTGTACTGGCCTGCCCTGACCTCACCCGTTCCGCGTCCAGGTGATGTGGTACACCACTGGACGGATGGAGTAGGGTCCCGTGACCTGACCTGACCTGACCCTTGTCGCGTCCAGGCGATGTGGTACACCACTGAACGGATGGAGGAGGGTCCTGTGTTCGGCTCCCGGGACAAGTGGCACGGTCTGGGCGTGTTCTTCGACTCGTTCGACAACGACAACAAGCGCAACAACCCGTACGTGTCGGCTATGGTCAACGACGGCACCATCACCTACGACCACGAGAAGTGAGTGACGACGGGCGGGGACTGGGGGGGGGGGCGGGATCCTGGAGCCGGCTGTGTGTCTAGAACACGGGGTTTAACCACACGTCTGTCTCTGTGTCAAGGATCAGTCATTTAGTGCACTGCGAATTGGCGACTGCGAACAAGTGGATCTTCGTCTGGTGCATTGCCGCGTGCCACACGATATAGTTGATAGTTCTAAACCACCTTGCACTGACTACGTGCGTCTCGATACGGTGCATTAACTAATCCACTGACCCTCCCGGCTTCGTGCCGTTTCTCCGCTGACATTGACATAAATGTAACTCGTACCGGTTCCCCTCCGCAGGGACGGCCAGGGCCAGATCGTGGGCGGCTGTCTGCGCGACTTCCGCAACAAGCCGCACCCGGTGCGTGTGCGCGTCACCTACCTCAACAACGTGCTGACGCTGGAGATGCACAACGGCATCACCAACAGCGACAAGGACTTCGAGCTCTGCTTCCGCGCCGAGAACGTCGTGCTGCCCGAGAACGGCTACTTCGGCCTGTCGGCGGCCACCGGCGGCCTGGCCGATGACCACGACGTCATCAAGTTCCTCACCTCGTCGCTGGCCACCAGCCCGCAGGACATCAAGGACGAGCGGATCAGCGAGCAGGAGCGACAGCGGCTCAAGAAGGAGTTCGAGGAGTACCAGCAGAAGACCGAACAGGCCAAGGCTGAGTACGTTGGGACACAATGTTAATATTAGCTACTATAATAGCTTACTGCCGTAATAGCTGCTATTACGTTATTGTTCTTTATGTATGTGTATGTGACGAAGTAATTCAGCAAGCAGTGTGTGATATTTGATGGTCAGTATTGCATGCTCCGCTGTGTGTTGGTCGTTGTCGTCATTGCCCGCCGCTGTCCCCAGCTACCGTCGCGAGCACCCAGACGCCAAACACGACGACGAAGATGAGGAATACGACTCGGAGGCGACGCGCGAGCTGCGGCAGATCTTCGACGGCCAGAGCCAGATCTACGAGACGGTGCGCGAGCTGCACCGCAAGATGGACGAAATCGTGGGCCGCCAGGAGCGCACGCTGAGCCTGCTGAGCCAGCAGTCGGCCGGCGGTCAGGCGCCGCCGCCGCCCGCGCCGGGCCAGCCGCACCTGCCGGCGCCGGCCGACACCATCCGACGACACGAGGTGGATGCCGTGCTCAACAACCAGAGGGAGATCGTGCAGGCCTCCAGAGAGATAAAGTGAGTGACGGATGGCCGGTGGTGCGGGAATCCGTGGGACCATGGTAGTGCTCAGTTCAGTGGCGAAGCCGTTTGCTGAAAGGTGGTTTGGCTGTTAAGGGCTCATTCATTCAGTTATCTGACGTGTCTCGGTGCGTGTGACATTTACTTACACCCACACAATGTCCAGATGTCACTTGCCAACAGTCAATCCATCTATCGACATTGCATCATATCGGCTTCTACAGTGGAAGCCGTGACCGTCAGACTGCCACGGCTGCCGCCGCCCTTATGCCAGTTTCGCCCCATGTTCCCTGACGATCTCTGTGTGCCACCGTAGGCTCCCACTGCAGCTTATCTGACAACCTCGGCGGTGTCTCCCTCTGCCTTTCTAACGACCCTATGTGTCGCTGGTGTCTCCCCTGATGGCCTCATGTGTGACTGGAGGCTCCCTCTGCCCTTCTAACGACCGTCTGTGGCGCCCCCGCAGGTCATTCGTCGGTGAGATAAACCAGCGGACGCACACGATTCTGGAGCACCAGCAGCGGCCGGTGGGCTCTGTGCAGCAGACGGGCGGCGCCGGCGGCGTGTTCGAACAGCAGAAGGTGAGCGAGCCGATTATGCAGAGACTTGCAAAGAGATTAGGATGGGTAAATGCGCCCTTACTCATGCCTTACTGTAACTGACCCTGTATATCTGTATCGCTGTGACTGATCGCTGATGTCTGTCCCGCCGTGTCTGTCTCTGACTCTGTCTCGCTGGCTGTGTCTCGCATTCTCTGTCTCGCCTTCTCTGTCTCGCCTTCTCTGTCTCGCTGGCTGTGTCTCGCATTCTCTGTCTCGCCTTCTCTGTCTCGCCTTCTCTGTCTCGCCTTCTCTGTCTCGCCTTCTCTGTCTCGCCGTCTCTGTCTCGCCGTCTCTGTCTCGCCGTCTCTATCTCGCCGTCTCTGTCTCGCTGTAACTGACCCATCGTCTCTTCCCCACCAGTTGCTGAACGAGCTGCGTGACGGTCTGAACATGGTGAAGCGCGACATGAGTATCACTGCTCAGCGGCTGCAGAACGTGCCGCAGGGCGTGCCGTCGTGTCCGCAGACGGGCGGCTGTCTCACACTGGCCGTGTTCCTGGGCGTGTGCGCCCTCCAGATGGTCATCATACTGGGCTTCCTCTCCTATAGGTGAGTCCAGAGTTAGACACTACACTGGGCTAAGGGCTTCCTCTCGTATAGGTAAGTCTTGAGTCAGACACTACTTACTTCAGTTCCTCTCGTATAGGCCTTCCGAGCACTCTAGCCACTCCATACTGGGCTTCATCTGGTACAGGTGAGCCCGTGTCGTACTGGTCTTCCTCTAGTATAAGTGAGTGCTAACCATCCATACTGGGCTCGTATAGGTGAGTCTGGATCGGCATACTGGGCTTCCTCCGTAACGGACTGTCCAGACGGTCCATATTCCGACCACGAGCACGATTGGGCCCAAATGTAAACTATGAAACAGCAGTTAACGTTGAAATATGTCTGTTGGTTTCAAAGAAGCTCCCCAGGGAGGGCTAAACGTCGTGTCATATGACAGAAAAGCCTAGTTAGCAAGGACTAAACGATTACAAAACCGATGTGTACTGTTATCGTGTTTGTTATTGTGAAATGACATTGATTCATCACTGGTCGTTAGTCTGCTGAAACAGGATTAAGGATTTATGTATTTAATGAAAATGCCAGAAATACATCGAAGGGTCGTAAAACCCGTCATATCTCGCCGGTCAGAGCTCCATTTCTGTGATAGCTCAACCGATCAATTTACTTCATTATCTTCAGTTCTGCGAAAATCGCATTTTCCTGTTTACTTACGTGGTAACTATGGAATCGGAAATTGGTTCTTATTTTATTGTGGGCTGGGATGATACAGGTTATGTTGCGAAGGAAAATGTAATCAGTAATTGTAATAGAAGCTAATTACTGGAACAATAAAGTTTTAGCGTTACCAAGCTAGTTACACACTAGGATCACTAATGTATCAAATAACAACGCTCAATATATGTTCAAATTGGGTGTAACGCGAATATGGGGTTGAAGTAAGTACAGACATCAGAGCAAATGCAATGGCTTCACGATTTTTTTTAATCGTGTATATGGGTGAGCTTATATGTGGCTTTTAAAGTTACGATTTTAAAATTAAACAGCCTCCTTCAACCTCATTGCAGCATAATTGTTGGACTATCTGTGAGCATGCGCAGTGCCATGCGGTGTTTCAACCAGTTTCCCCAGTCTGTGGACCCGCTCCTCTGATGCGTGAGCTGCTCGTCTGCGGTTCGGTCGAGCGCCGTCGGCTCGCCGCCAACAACAAAACACTCCCCTCGGCCCGACTGGTTCCGACGAGATCTCGCAAAGTTTTCAAAGTTGGCCGCCTGTGATTAAAGCGTCAGCGGGCCGGGAACCGGAGGGCGGCCCTCGTCTGATACAATGGAAACAGCACGCCCGGAGTAAACGGGGGGGGGGGGGGCGCACTCGGCCGCCAACTCATTAGGGGATGCGTTTGGTTTGGTGTGGGGTGCGTTACGGTTACTGGCGTCATAAATAAACCGTGCGCTGAGGTTTGTTTAAACCAAGCAACCACGGTCAACGGTGTCTAGAAAAAAATGTGTCTTTGAAAAACTTGTAGCAGTAGATTTTCTGGGCTGAATTTATCGTTGAGACTTGGGTAACATAGTTCTACGCAGATCGCCAAACGTTTGAAAAAGTTTTGCATCGAGGTATCTCCTATGTTCAGTGTTCACCTTACTGTAGTCGTCCCTTTGTTAGTCATTTTACCTGTAGAGATAACGCGATGTTTTTTTCACGAGAATAAGATAGACATTTTTATAAGAGTTAGCGCAGCACCACACCAATCTAAAGGAGAGATAAATGGTGTTGTCAGTTGTGGTACTGAGATGGGATTTTAATTGTTCTCCGTCCAGATTATATCAGATCGATGTGGTCATTTTGTCATTTGTCTTCGGTGTCAGATGGGCACCGTTGGACGTTCAGAGATTATCCCAATGTTTTTCCTTTTCCACTACGTCATTGGCGGATGCTGATCGTGCTACCGGTTTATAAGCAAGCGCCATTGTCAATTGCCCTTCATTATCAAAGTATTGCGTAATTCATAAAGAAATTCCTTTTCCTTTGCCTATTCCCGCGACCATTGTGAAGATAGGACATCCTGAGTTTAAATCAAATGTCTATCATTTATCTTTTCGAATTGACGTGCACTCGGCGGAGCCATTTGCGTCTGACGTATTTGCCCGTTTCCTGGGGAGTCGCGTATCCGGCCCGTCGTTGGCCGGGATCTGCCAAACGACGAGCCCCTGCCGCCCGCCGAACGGCACTCGTCTAGCGTCACTCACTCCCCGTCCTGTTTTCAGAGACAACAAGCAAGCCGCCGCAAAGAAGTTCTATTAGAGAGCCGGCCGGTCCGTCGGCTGGCCGGGCTCGACCGACTATTTTTGTACGAGCGCCCTTGCTGTTGTGTCCATGCGTGGGCGAGGCCCAATCGACTATCAGGAGATGCGTGTGAATCAGTGGAGGGTCGCCTGAGGAGCGCCACCGCAGCCGGCGTCCTCTCTGAGCAATCCGACGGGTGTGCGTCGACCGCCGACGGTCCGCGAGGGACCGCGGACCACCGACCGGACCGCGGACTGTTCGGGGAGTGTGGACCAGTCTGGACCGGACTGTCACGGGTCCGCCCAGTGATGGAGCAGCTGCAGCCAGTCTGGGTCGCTCCCCGGTCCGGTCTGTGTCCCCGCGGCGATGGAGGCAGTCGGCGCCGTCGGCCGGCCGTTTTACTGTGCACGCTTGGTTTGGTACTTTTTACTTGTGGGTCCGCGTGTCGCCGTGTGTTGGTCGGGGTTTGTTGTAAGCGGCCGGTGAACTGCCACGCCGCTGTCAGAGGTTTATTTTAACGTTATGGAGAATGGTGACAGAGGATGTACGAAATCAAATGCTTCCACTGAGCTTCAGGTTTGCTTTTTTGGAAAATGTGTTTATTATCGTTAATAAAGGTTTCCTAGATTCCAGCAATGAGTAATGACTGAATCAAGCTACTATACTGGGAACAAGACTGTACAATGCATGGAAATGAATATCAGACAATAAATGTGCTATATCGATTATTCGTTTAGGGTAACATAGAAAGCAAATATATCGTTACCGTGACAGTACAATCATTCATTCATATTCTTGTAAAGGATTCCATACTATTTCCTTTTCACAGTTCGTGAGCTACGGCTTATCAACTGGATGGTGACTCAACTGAACGGGAGCTTAATGGCTTGTGAAAATTGGTAGCGAATAAATCGCTGGGTGCCTACTTCAAGATCATTTAACATTTAGGAAGCATGTTCATTCCGAATCATTGAATTGACAATTCGGCACTGTTTCAGCTTGCTGATGAAAACGTACCGCAGAGTCGCGAAAACGTTCCGCAGAAGCCTTACGTAAGGTCTCAAATTGCATCTCTGTCGATCCTAAAGGCAGACAACCAGCTAGCAAACTTGGTCTGGGCCGTAACTGGTTTTACCCTGACTAGCTCCGGCATTTTCTCCGGCTAAAGTACGGGCAAGGTCTGGGCCTCTACTGGAGCTGACACACGATCCCGGATCTCGCCCGCACCACAGCCGGACTTACGCCGCATGAGCCGTGCCGTACCCCAATCGTACTTCAGACACAGTAAGCCAGAGCAGCTACGAGGCAGCCGGACCTGGCCGTTATAGGGAGCCGGACTTGAGCCATGTCAGGGAGCCGGACTTGAGCCAGACTTGGCGGTCCGAAGCCATACCAACTCGGGAACGCTACGACAAAGGCTGGCTTACCGGAATAGAGCCACATCGACCCAAACCCCGTCCCTGACGGCGTTCCGTTTACACCGGCCAAAGTCTGGCATGTCGGAGTTGCCGAGGCAAAGCGGACTTAAAGGGACCCTCCCACCTTAACATTAGTTTTGAGTTGAGATAGCCAAGTTTGCGGCCAGGCTCAGAAACCACCATTTATCCTGGTCGCAACCCCCGCAGCTTTATGGTGTTCAAGAAATTTCTTCCCTTTACTTGCAGGGTGGGACCAGCGTGGTCCCTATCTCTTAACCATTACGGGAATCTGATGACGTCATCAGGCTTTCGAACGTCCGTTAAATGTTTGACTAAAACGTTTTGTAGCACGCGGTGGTATATGCCGCTTTGCGCGCAACAAATGCCGCACTTTCAAATAAAGTCGCTAGGAACAGCGGAGATCCCAAAAAGTAAACAAAAGTAAAAGTCTAATATCTTGAAAACCGGTGAATATTTTTCGATGAAATTTGGTACATATTCGTTTTTGCTCTTTCTGAACCGAGCGACATCACTTTCATGCCAATTCATTAACTTTTTTGAAGGTGGGAGGGTCCCTTTAAGCCGAACCAAATTACTGGCTGGGCAATGATCACCCCGTACAAGCACAACAATAACTGGCTAGTCGTTTGTGATGCAATATTTGGCATGCGATCATCAGCTGTGGCAATTTGATTTTGAAAACGATCAATCATTTCACATTTGTGTCTTTTATCTGTTGATTGTCATTTCAAATGGCAAACTCCCACATACTTACTTCTCAAAAGAGAAGCGTGTGGTTCATTGAATTTTATAACTTGACCCGGGGCTTCAACACCACGTCCTAAATAGACCGCCGAGCCGCCGCGCCGTGGTTGGTGGGACCACGTCCCTCGCCTCACGCCGCCGTCGCTGCCAGCTCGGTGGCTCGCCAAATGACCCGTGAGGTCGTTAACGCAGTCAGCAAGCTTGTCCCTGCGACTCGGCTGCCAACCAACACCCCCGGAAGACTGGCTCACTCGTGGGCCGCGCACGCATCTCGGCAAAGTCATGTTTTATTCATATCATAATACGTCATATGAATTAATTATCTGCGGCGGCGGCGCGGGGAAGGACGGTACGACGAGGAGGGTGCTCGGACAATCAGGAAAGTAGGAGCGGAACCGGGGTGCCGCCGCGCCGGGGAGCCCCTCGATGGAAGGGAGGGGGCGCTCGACTTGCTGACTTTCCGGAGTTTCTCTGAGCACGCCGGCCCCGGGCCTCGGGTGGTGGAGGCGCCGGGTCGGGAGAGAGAGAGAGAGAGAGAGAGAGGGGGGGCCGCCAGACGGGCTGACACTGTTACAAATGGCTGGAGAGAACACATGTGTGGAGCGAGCGCGCTCGTATGGTTTCATACAACTTGCGTTGTCGCATTGTTTCAGAGGCAAGTTATATGTCCTGTTGAAGTCAATTTGTCAAACTATACCTTACTATTGTGCCATGTGTACCTACTTACTGTGTACTTTCGATAAAATTGTGATGTGCCCGTCTCTCATTAACTCGCCGGCATCGAGTCGAGGCATTCCGTCGTTTGACTCGCGGCATAATAAGCCAGCTGGAAGAGTGGCGAGAGTATCACCCTCGACCTGCGAGGGCCTGCTTCTGCATGGGACAGAAATTTCAATTTTGTATGCCGGATAAAGCAGGAATACCTACGTTTGTTGGACTGTAGCCTCCGCATGTTCAACCCAGCTAGGAATGAAGGGGAAGAGCAAACAACAAAATAGAGGGCTGGGTGTTCACTTATTTTCTGTCGGTGTGCTTCCGTGGTTCACGCAGGTGCCATGCTCAGTCAAATGCGATCTAAAGCTGAGACGTGCCTAGCCCCTCCTGCGGCCGCCAATGCGTGGGTAACGATAGGTTTATTAGAAGGATGTCGACTGTCGTCGAGGAATAACAACAAGAGCATCTTCTTGGCCATTAGCTCTAAAGTGATAGCTTGTTTTGTGTGAGTGAAAACGGTGTGACGCTACATTCAATTGGAGAACAGCGTATCCAGTACATATTTATCTTTGATTGATCATTCTACGAGTAGGTTTAAGTGTCAACTTAAGTATGCAATGTGCACGCTGGGCCTCCGCGCCACCCGCCGGCCGCTGGGGGGGCATATAGTTGCCCCCCCCCCCTTTACTTCTGCGACGATATCGTCGCAACGCGAAGAGCTAGAGAAGCAAAACTTATCACACATCTTCCTGAATACCTAGCCGAGGTTGTGTCTAAATTTGGTGTCGATCTCACTTGAAATGACGTCACAGTGATGTCATAAGTCAAATTATAGATTTGCAACTCTCAGTTTCCTCACGATATATCAGATACCTACATGGGACCAAATATAAAGGGCCGATTATTGGTCAGGAACTAGATGTAAGTGTACTTAGATTGTTTACGAGGGGCGTTCAAAAAGTTCCCTGCCCAACCATGGAGGAGTTGGAATTTCGACCTGCAGCGCGGTGTGTTCAATGATGTGTTATTGGGATGTCCACTTACGTAGCCATTAACCAATCTGACCTGTGATTGGTTCAGGCTGCTAATTAATCGTAACATAGTTTGCCATTCCCGGTCAGAATGGGAAACGCCCAGAATAGAACAGTGATTTGGTTCATGTATTGCAGAAAAATGCACCAAACGTTATTCACGAAAAGCTAGTGCCAACACATGCTGAAGTTTGTCTTTCTTACAGTAGCGTCAAAAAGTGGGCATCTCTGTTCAATTTTGGTCAACAGATCATTAATGATCACCCCCGCAGTGGCCAGCCATCAACAGCATTGACTCAAGAAAATATGAAAAATACACTTCTTTGTAACATTTGTAAGCACTTCTTTGTGAAAAATGGCAAATGTTCTGGTCTGGAACAACGCACCAGAAGCAGAGGTGTCTATCAGGTTCCTCAAAGCCATTCTTCAACAGCGTATTAATATGTTTAAGAGCTCTGCAAGATGCATCCCCCGTTTGCTGACTCCAGACCAGAGGAAAGGCAAACTCGAAAGGAGGCGTAACGCGAAAATTTTGGCCCCTATATCGAAGATCCAAAAGAGTTCATTGAACTACTTGTTACCGTGGAGGGATTGTGGGGGTCCCACGTTGACCCTAAGGGCGTGACCGAGTTGCACAAGTGGAAGCACACTAAGTAAAGGCCACCAAATGTGTGTGAGGTGTTTAAGTCAGACGGCAAGGTGACATTGGTTGCATTTTGGGATGCTGGCGGGGCTCTGCTCGTCAACTTTCTAAAACAGGGGCGCACAGTTAACCCTATTCCTGGCGGGGGGGGGGGGGCCTCAGGAGCCCCCCCCGCCTGAGGTTTTTTGGTTATTTCTCCCAAACGCGTTGAGCTAGGAAGCTCAAATTTTCTGACTTTTCCTAAAAGGCTTCTACGCAACATGTCTGAAAATTTTGAGTTGATCTGACCTCAGGTCAGGTCACCAGAGGCGGTTTGGTGACCCTACCTCAGAAAAGTTTGCAATCACGCCAGAGCTAGAGTTTTTGACCGATCAGTTTCTTCTCTTCAGGGTTTAGTTAGGGTACCAGTATGTGCAATTTGTATATCTCGGAATTTTGATATCGGTGACCTAAGGTCAGGTCAATTTCGCGACCTCCCCATTATAAGTCAATGGGGGAAAAATCAACTCCCTGTTTTTACCACTAAAACGGGTCGGAATGGCCCCATATACCATACATGACTTACGATCAACCTTCACTACCTTGAGGTCTGTTTTGCTGTTGGGCAGCTGTGTTGGGCAGAGCACTCGGCTTGTTGATTCGGTCACTCCAAGCCGGAGCGAGAATTAGGTATGACACTGGCGCTATCACCTCAGCATACTTCGCCAATGTACGTTCGGTTCTCGAGAACTGCAGTGTTGTGTGGGGCGGAGCGGCGAGAACACATACGGATCGCATAGAACGAATCCAGCATAAATTCCTTATTTGGCTTACAGTTAACTCTGTCACCAACTCGGATTCTCTCTCTTACGAAAATCTTCTTTCGGCACATTCTTTCACTTCTCTGGCAGCACGACGGGTGCAACATGACTTGGTTTATGTAGCTCGTCTTTTCAAGCACAAAATTGACTCCAGTTCCCTGCGATCTCATTTTGGCCTCGCCGTCCCGCCTCGATCAGTTCGCCGCCGTGATCTGCTCGCCGTGCCGTTCGCCAGAGTCGAAACCATCAAGAATGGGCTCTATTGTAGGGTGCCGAGGCTCGCAAATGAATTTCTGCGTGAAAACAACCAGCTAGACCTGTTTACGGACTCCTTAGCCACAGTGAGGAAAACAG